CCAACTTACCCTCTCATAGAACACAACAGAACAGCACAGCGCTAACACAGACACTATTCCCGTCGATTCTGTCCTTTGCCATTACCAAACAGGAGAGACAATTAACGCAGCTTAGAGGAGACACCCACTAAACTCTAACCGCAGAGCTGTCAAAACTGTGCAGATTAGCGACATACTTTTTTTAAGACAAACTTTATTTCACAACCATAGGCAAGCCAGAGGTTAAAGACCTTATTGAAGAGACGGAAACATATATGAATTGCCTAACTCTCAACGTTGCCGCGACACACCTTCACACTGCAGGCGACACTCTAATACTGTGTTTTCCCGAAATAAGAGCTATCCCAAAAATTAGCTCTACTATAATTTTGTTCAGGATGATTTTAGTATAAGACCTATCTCATCATCAGTTCTCTTTGTGCCTAGTGGCACGCGAGGCTTCAGTTAGGACTTTCCATGCTTTCCTGACCTGTGCAATCTTCATTGCAGTTTTCCAAGTCAGAGATGTCGTACTCAGTTCACTTTCCATCGTTCGTCTCCATGTTTTTGGGCGCCCATTCTTTCTTTCCCTCTGGTAGCCATTTGAGAGGTTTTTTGGCAGGGATGTCAGAATTAATTCTCATAACGTGGCCAAGCCGTTTGCATTTTCTCTTGGTTATTACAATGTCTAGAGTGTTTTAGTTTGTGACTTGAAGTAGTTCAGTGTTTAAGATTGTATCTGGTCAGAAAACTGTGATTTTTCTACGTAGACATGCGTGGTGGAAGGTGAATAGCTTCTGCGCATCTGTTTTGGTCATTCTCCAGCATTTTGCTTCATAAAGAAGAACTGGCAAACGTCGGAGTTTCGTTCCTTTGCAGTAACTGTTGGATTTCCAGATTTGCATCATCCTCCCAGAAGCAGCTGTAGCTTTGTTCGGGCGTGACAGTATATCTTCTTCTGTCCCTCCCAGCAGGGACACCACACTGCCAAGATATGTGAACTGTACTACATTTTCAGGTGTTTGGTCATTTATGGTCACTGATTGTTGGTTTTGACTGCTTGTCATGATCTTAGTTTTCCTTGTATTTATTATCAGTCACACCATTTCTGCTGTGCTATGTAGTCTGTTATTTCTCTCTTGTATATGTTCATGTTTATGTGATAGGAGTGCTATATCATCTGCAAAATCAAGGTCCTCGAGCATGGGGAATGGAGTCCATGTTATGCCCCTCGATGTCTTGTCTACCATTATCTCCTAAAATTAAAGGTTTCACAGACTTTGTTCAGACCTTCTAAATAACACTTACACAATGGAATATTATTTTGGCATCTAGATTAAGTTCACTAATGATGTCAGACAAAAAGACAGACAAACAAATAGACAGACAGATTAGCTAGCTGAGGGGCGCCGACATAAAGACAACCACATCGCTGTTACACATTTGTGAAGGAACGGGCGTGTTCTGGGTGTCTGAGTAAGGTTTACATTCTTCATGTTTCCGCTCGTTACCACAGTACTGATTTGACACTAGAATAAAAACATTCTAAGTTCAGTCACGGCCAGCACCAGATTTATATATTTGCAGCCGGACGTGGTTCAGTATTAATTTTAGTCGGCTTTTGTGGCTGACGCTAAGCGAACGCGTTTCGTAATGCCGGGTGCCGGGTTCGATCCCAGCTGCGGACGCTTTGTTTTGCGTTGGTTTCGATACCTATTTAGGCTCTAATGTAGATGAAGTTGGGGAAACTGACAGAGATATTGAAATACGAATGTAAAAGGTGGGAGAAACATACATAACATTAGTGTATCTATAGGAGTATGTGGGAGTATGTGGGAGTATGTGGGAGTATGTGGGAGTATGTGGGAATATGTGGGAGTATGTGGGAGTATGGAGTTGAAGCACTGAGAACAACTAGTACATCTGCTAATAAAGCACATATATTCATTAACTGGCTGGTGCCTGTGCAAAACAGAGTAAATTAAATGGCATTATTGAACCAAGTAGGCCCGGCTCTCTAGCGTAGTTGGCTAAACCGGATTGCGCGGGACCGGGTGACGAACTCTTTGTGGTCCGGGTTCAATCCCGGGGGTAGGCAGGAAAGCCAAATTTCTCCCAGATTTACGGTATTTACAATGGAAACAGTGCCGATAGGTTGCGATATCCATAATACCGAGCCTAAAGGTTAAAAATTCATGGCTTCTCGATACTAAAACAAACAAACATTGAACCAAAAAAGCTCTGGAAAAGAGCTGAGCAACTTCCGGTGTGTCAAGCGTTAAGACATCACACTGGTGTTTGATAGGACGTTGAGAAAACATGAGAACAGTAAGACTAGAATGTCTTTGCACTGGAACCCATAAAACTAAATGCAAACCTTAAACACATGAGCGCGTGCGCAAAACACACACGCACACGAAGAAGAGAGAGGGGATGTTAAATAAATGGGAAAGAATAGGTGAGCTGCATACAATACCCAGTAATAGGTCCACTTCACCTGAGTAGGGTGAAAACCTAAGCTCTGCAGGGGAATCAAAGGCAGACAAAGATATGTCGCAGTTAAAATTTGGAGGGAAAACTACGATGGAAGGCATGGTTTTTAGAAGACAAGGCATCACAAGGATGGAAAACGAACAAAAGATACACAAAAATATAAGTAAACTGATGGGCGACTTTCTGGCAGGTGCTGATAGGAGAGACGTTTTCCAGAGAACACATTTATATGATGATGATAATTCTCAGTCTCGGCGTGGGAAGAAATCTTACACTTCGTTAACTTCTACCACGCATTGGTTCCGCCTAACTTGTTGTTACAACTCAGCCTTCATCGTTAACTATTAGACTCAGCCCGGTATCTGATAAACGGACATATTGGATTTCTTCTGTCTCTCCGTGCCGGTTACGGCGTGTCATGTGATATGTATTGTCTTCTTGCAGATGGCAGAGTTGTTCTCTTGTGATACGGCTAGTGGCAGGGGGACAGGATCAGAAGAAAGTCTGAAGACATTTGTTTTTGAGCGAGTTGTTATTGCTCAAGCAAAAGTAAGCATTGTTTTTTTTCTTCTGTTATCTATATTAAACGTAAGTTAAGAACACTGTTCAACACACTGTTCTTACCAACGCTATGCTATCAATGTGGACACTTCAGAAATTAGTTAGTTGACTATCCTTTACAGGTTGTTGTTTTAGAGCAACCCTATCATTTTTCGGCTGCTGTTGTTTTTCTAGGCACATTTAACATTCAGTAGTTTGTCGTTGCTTTCTCAACGGTCTGCTCTCGGTACCACTGTCGAAACCAACACAAGAAGATAAACCATCGACAGGTGGGATCGAACCCAACACTCCGCATTACGAAGAAGGAAAATAGACACGGCAGAAATTAAATGTTTACGTACTATGCAAGGTGTAACGAGGACAGATCGGTTTAGGAACGATGCTATCGGTAAGAGAGTCGGCACAGAATCAATACTGAACTTCATAGGTAGACAACAAACCAAATGGTTTGGCCATGTAACAAGACTGGCATCTGACAGGGCGCCACAGGGAGCAGTGTCATACAGATACAGCGGTAACAGAGCCAGAAGTCGACCATTCAGAGCATAGATGGCAGAAATATCAGAGACACTGAAAAGTACTTTATAGAAGCGAACAGAAAGGCCCATGCCGGAGATCTTTTCCTGACCGGAAGCCGCGAGGCATTCCAGGAGTAGAGACAAGAAGACAAAGAGAAGCGGAAAGAAGAAAAACGCTAGTTGCAGTTCCTTTACAAGACGTTACAGCACCAGTCCTAATATTTTTGTTTTAGCTATTTGTTATTTCACCGGGTAATTTTCCGTCCAGTAGTTTGCCATTGCCTTCTACACAGTCAGCTCTCAATACTGCTGTTGAAATAACGTTACACCAGCTATTGGGATCAAACCCGGCACCACAGAGTGACGAAGCAGGTTGGCAACGCTTAAGCCGCAGACGCCAATTTATGTATATGGTGTATCTTTAATGTCGTCAACAGTCTTTCAAGAATGTCTAACGACAACAATTGATTGATTGACCGTCACCTTTTCCTTTGCAGACGATAGTTTTATATTGCGTTATGAGGAGGCCTGGGACTCACAGCCCATTGCGATGTCGAGTGTGACTAGCAAGACCCGACAACGTCAAGAAAACATCCTCTCCATAGCACAAAGCCTGGGCAGTTTGTAGAGACCATTTGTTGTCCATGCACCATGATCACTCACTTGACCTGCCTTATTTACTCCAAAGGAAAAGTAACACCACTAAGTTTGGAACAAATCAGGCTGCAAAGCTGCGGGATTAGAAGAGCAGTGCTTTATCTGTCCGCCTGTAGAAGTTTCCATCCTAGACCAGCTGTCAGCTAAGACTAAGGGCCTGATCTGCCCTGCCATAACATAAAGTTTTCATGTTGCATCTTTCTCTTCCTAGGACAAGGCGACAACAATAAAGTTATTAAAATCGTTTGCTTCCACAGTACTACAGAGTGTAGCCGTCCTCTAGGGCATGCAGTACAGACCTCACGGAATATCTGGGATTTGCCATGTTGGATAGGATTAGATTTAACGCCACAAAGATGAGAATCATGCAGCTACAAATCAGGGAAACCCTATTCAACCTTTCAACCATATAACATATAAATACTGGGGCATCATAAAACAGAAACGAAATAACATGTGGTCCAGTGTGAGGTGTTCTAGGTTTCTTCTTCACGTGCACCGAGTTTAGTAGTAATAGTTTGTTTTGTCTTTGGTTCCTGTATGTCACACAGTTTGTCATTTTTTCTTCTTCTTTTTCCAAATAGAAAGCAACTTGATGATCTAATAGAAAGCACTGGAGGGAACGCCATTTTGTGCTACCTCAAGAAACAGGTCCCAAGTTGAATAACTTTTATAGCTGAAAAACAACATCGTTTGCTGGCTTCATCCTATCATCTTGTTGCTAGCAATTTACCCTTACTGACTAGATTATTTAATTACCCGTCCAATTTCTGCTGACATTTTAGGCAAAAAATGTCTTTTCTAACCAACGGAAGTAACACTACAAATACAACATCTGATTTCAAAAGATACAGTTTTATCCCATCGTTTTACAGCTTCCGGGAAGGAAGTCTATTATTTATATCTATTGTAGGCACGGCGATGAACTTGTGGTTTCTGGCGGCCATCTTGAGCTCGCCAGTTCTTCGATCACGGCTTCGCAACAAAATCCTCTGCAACAGTTTTCTGTTGCATGTGGTCAACTGCGCAATAATTTTACCCATCAATTTCGGTATCTCCTTCAGTCGCAAAGATGTTGGATGCGCTTTAATATCAATGTTCAACAACGTGGACCTCATGCAGGACTTTGTAGATAACTGGCTGTTGGTGATCATCATCGTCATCTTCATTGCCCAAATCCAAGACTTTGATCTGAGAAGCAGATTTAGTGACAGAACTATAAAAGTGGGCACTGTTGCTCTGCTAGTAGTCCCCTGGCTTTCGTCGTTGGTTGTTGTCCCTGTTATTATTAAAGAACATCTTTCAGACAGTATCAAGGATTGCCTAGTCTCAACACTGGATGCGTTGGAAGTGCTGAGAGCTGTCGACACGGCTCTGCCCATCATCCTGGCCATACTGCTAGTGATAGCCGCGGCAGTCATGAAGCACTGTGGATTCACTCTGAGGAACTCACCTGTATCCACTCAGTCGGAGCTCCTGAACAGAGGACCCGAGATCGACAACACCCGTGCCTATGTTGTGGCTGTGACAATAGCTACACTCTGTGACTTACTTCGGCTGATTCGGCATTTAAAAATTTATAACTTTTCACAGCACGGCATAAAAACATTGTAAGTTCATTTTCCTTTGAATTAGTTTAAGTAAAGTAAAAGTTATAAAAAAGCCATCTTTTTCATGCCTATAGGCGTATTGGGACTATAGGGCTAGTCCTATATTTTTATTGACCAGTCGGAACATGTTGGGTAATGTGGTCAGCATCACGCCGGCCGCTTTACTTCCAGGACTGCACTTAGTGCCCTCTCAAGGCTGGGCGTCAAGGTCATTAAAAAAAGTTTGGCTCCGTCAGGACGCGAACTCATAATCTTCCAATCCTCAGGTGGGCGTCTAGCCGCTAACGCCACGGCGACTCCAGTGTAAAGTAGGGGGGTCCCCTTCGTCTTATAGGGTTTTATTCCATAAGGCAGAGTGACTAGCGAGAGTGACACACAAAGCAACAATACCCAGTCCGTCTGTCTGCGTATCTGTGTGACACAGTTGTATCTTTCACATCTCCCCAGGAATAGATGTGCTTAGTTCGGAACATAGTATGTGATGGATACAGTTCGTAGCTCTCTTGAATCGTACTCAACAACACGGTCAGTGATGTAACAACTATTACAAAGGAGTTTGTTTATTAACAGAATTGTGAAGTCAAGCTGTACGAATAATTTCACCAACCAATAATAGGAACACTTCATTATCTTATTGTTGGCTATTCATATATCTGACGATAAGTTCTTTAATCACTCTTCTAGCAAAGCAAAACCATATTTGATTATCTATTTCTTCTAGCGAAGCACAGCTCTAGTTTTCTATGTCTTCTCGCCAAGTTCTTGTCAACTGTCCTGTTCAAGCGTCTAAGCACTGACTGTCTTCTCACTCCCCTCCTCTTCACCCTCGCTTCCTCTCTCTTCCCAGCGTGGGTTCTCAATCACCCCCTGTCACCCTTCATCCTGCTCTATGTTATCTTCTTCGGGTGGTCACGTGCATTCCGCGCTGCTCTCGAACACTGGTCGACCTCATTCTCCCTTGTGCATCTTCGTGCGGTCGCCCTGTACGTCTACAGCCGTCACTGTCAGATGTGACGGCTTTATTTGGATAAACGTACTTTATTCAACCCTGGTCACCGTCCACCTGTTCCTACGTACTTTTCCACAGGCTACTGGTTTATCTGTTTGGCCTTGTTTGACCAGTGTTCTAATCGCCGTTTTCTATCATGCGACCCAGTGATGGATTGGCATGCATTGATGCTGGTCTGAATGTGTGCATTCTTCATTTAACCCCTTCCTAAACTCAATTTCATCACATTTGTGTGTTTATGTGCTTTCTGTTTATCTACGTTTCTGCTTTGGATGTTTTCTCCAAGTATGTCGGTGTGCTGGTAAACGAAAAGGTAGACAGACTGGCTGGTTCTCCCCCCACTTGGTGATAACTTTATGCATGACAAGCTTGATATTTTAAAGGTCCTTTGGGATTGAGGGAACAGGTCGGAGGCACAAACAGATAATCACTGTCTAAACAAGAATGGAGCTGTGGGGAGTTACCAGGGGATATGGCCGCCGCTCAACACTTAGAAGAAAGGCGAGACAAATATACAACCAGATGGTTACTGGTACTATCGGAATTAGAACTCTGCGCTTGCTGCTGAAGATGGGGACGTAGCATTAACGGGAATGCTCCGAGTGCTGTAGTTTCGATTTTGAATTCAGCATACATACTTGACCTTTCTGGTTACATGTCTACCTCATTTAAGTCCTTCCGTCTGTCTGTCTGATTGGTTTATGTCCTTCCATCTGTCTGTCTGGTTTATGTCCTTTTGTCTCTCTGTCTGATTGGTTTATGTCCTTCCATCTGTCTGTCTGGTTTATGTCCTTCTGCCTCTCTGTCTGATTGGTTTATGTCCTTCCGTCTGTCTGTCTGGTTTATGTCCTTCCGTCTGTCTGTCTGATAGGTTTATGTCCTTCCGTCTGTCTGTCTGGTTTATGTCCTTCTGTCTGATTAGTTTATGTCCTTCCGTCTGTCTGTCTGGTTTATGTCCTTCCGTCTGTATGTCTGATAGGTTTATGTCCTTCCGTCTGTCTGTCTGATAGGTTTATGTCCTTCCGTCTGTCTGTCTGATTGGTTTATGTCCTTCCGTCTCTCTTTCTGATTGGTTTATGTCCTTCCGTCTGTATGTCTGATTGGTTTGTGTCCTTCCGTCTGTCTGTTTGATTGGTTTATGTCCTTCCGTCTGTCTGTCTGATTGGTTTGTGTCCTTCCGTCTGTCTGTTTGTCTGGTTTATGTCCTTCCGTCTGTCTGTCTGATTGGTTTGTGTCCTTCCGTCTGTCTGTCTGATTGGTTTATGTCCTTCCGTCTGTCTGTCTGTCTGATTGGTTTGTGTCCTTCCGTCTGTCTGTCTGATTGGGTTATGTCCTTCCGTCTGTCTGTCTGATTGGTTTATGTCCTTCCGTCTGTCTGTCTGATTGGGTTATGTCCTTCCGTCTGTCTGTCTGATTGGGTTATGTCCTTCCGTCTGTCTGTCTGATTAGTTTATAACCTTCCGTCTGTCTGTCTGATTGGTTTGTGTCCTTCCGTCTGTCTGTCTGATTGGTTTGTGTCCTTCCGTCTGTCTGATTGGGTTATGTCCTTCCGTCTGTCTGTACGTGTGTCAGCTGGTATGTCTGTTTTTCTTTCTACCCTGTTGTCTCTTTGACACTCTTTGTGTGTGTGTGTATGGGTGTATATATATATATATATATATATATATATATATATATATATATATATATATATATATATATATATATATATATATATATATATTTTCCCGTGTAGGTTTAAGGGCTCTATTCTGGGGGAGAAAGAAATTATTTACCCACTGCCTCCATAGAAAGCATGTCGTAAAAGACGACTATTTTGGGAAGTTTCCTTCGAAATTGGAGTAGATCTGTCTGAGAGGTGAGAAACAGAGTATGCCCAAAAAAAAAAAAAAAAAATCAGATCTGTAGAACGGAGGTACACGCAGTATTCAAGTTCTGGAACAAGACCAAAATCCAGAAATGACCGAACAACCAGAACTTTCTACCGGAGTTCACATTTAGTGAGGAAGCTTACCCGCCTGGCCAGTATAGCTCAGCACTAGGTGATGACCAAGTTATATTTGTATGTTCATTCGTTTACTTCAACTTCCTCGCCCTCTCTGTCCCACATTCAGGTTGTACGCCATTGTGATATCCGGCATCCTGGTTGACCTCCGGTCTATCCTGACCCCTATTGCCTGGCTTTTGCTTCCTGACATCAGGGAACGGATCCGAACTTGGAGACCTTGGCATCGCCCGGCACCCGGTATTGATGTGACTATGACCTACAAAAAGGAGAGAAATTAATTAGAATGTTGATAACGCCTATTGTCGGTGAAAAGATACCTCTAGAATATTACGCTATTTAAATCTGGTGTCTAGCTTTCATCTAATCGAGACATTAACATGTTAGTTCAGGTTTAGACAGATTTACGTTAAAGCAACAGCAGCAGCAATAATCGTTTCAATAACAACTGCAACAAGAAAAACAAATGATAACAGCTGCAACAGCAACAACAAAACATTCTATAACAACAAAACATTCTACAACAACAAAACATTCTACAACAACAAAAATCAAACTTAACAGTGGTGCAGCAACAACACAATCTGTATTAACACCAACAGCTGTAATAACAACAGCTGTACTAACAACAGCTGTATGCAACAAGAATACAGTGAGCATTAATACTGTGTTCAAAGTTAATATACCTTATCAATACCAAGTTGTGACCGGTACCATCAGTATTGGAACTCTGCGCTGGCTGCTGAAGATGAGGACATAGCACGCATGGGAATGCCCCGAGTGCTGTGACGTCAATTCTTGACTCAACTCAGTACCTTAACATATATCAACAGATTTCTGTTTGTTGTGAACAGCACAATGAAAAGCTTCTAATCTTGTTTTGAGATCTTCCTACTGGCAGATTGTGGGTTCTCTCTCTACAGTTTATATCCTTTTTTTTGTTTCTGACTTCATACCCCACCTCCCCCCTACACTTTTCCTTCCCTCATGGAGCATATGCCCTCAACTAACTAAGGCCAAGAAGTCGCATTTTTTTGCTTTCACATACAGATCACACCCATGTCCTCTCAATCTGTTTAACTTCATTCTCTAGTTCCCTTCTCCATATTTGTTAACATTTTTATTCTGTCTTTATTTCCATGCACCTGTAGGTTGGCAGTGTAAAGTCCCTCTAGATATATTGGGCTAATGTTTTCTCAATGTGTGTCCAATCCAAAGCCAGCGTATTTTCTTCATTTCTTGATTCACTGGAATAGGTTTGTCTCCTGTGTTGGAAGTTTCAAGTTTTATCTCTTCTATCAGTTACAATCATCGAGATTCCCCTACTATAATACACACTAGGTGCTCTGCAGCCATCTGTGGCTAGGTATACATGCATGCTTGCTCAGTGACTCGATGAGGATGCTACAGAAGATCAAGTCTGGGTATATACGGAGACACTGGATCCATCTGATACAGCACGCAGGGATTCGCAAAATGAACTTCATTTTTGTTCCTAGGATGCTTGTTTGAAAGCCAGTGAAAGAGCAGACGACTTGGCTGCAGTGCCACTATCAAGAATGGGCCATCTGTGGACAAGGGAGACATCCACTCTGTTTTGCTTTCAATTTCGTTGAGAAAGATTTTTCACTGAATAGACTGCATATCTAGGTGTACCAATCGGAGCAGTGAGCGCCCCCCCCCCCCACGACACCCCAAAAAAGTAACCGTATCAGAGTTCGAACCCGGGTCTCCTCATAGTCTGACATTATAGATAAATGTCACAATTTAACATGTGTAATTCCAATTCTAAAAAGAAATATACATGGAAAATATGATTTCCCCATTGACTCCGTATTATATTATTTGTAATAAAAACTACATTGGTGTTAACACTGAAGACTAATTTTATGTTTGTCCTATAAAAGTTCTAGAGAGTTTAGAGAAACGTCATTCTAGTCTCAAGACTCCGCGAACTCCACTTGTAGAGAATGGTAAACACTCTACAGTGGGGCTAACACGGCTACAGGGACCGAGTATCCGCCGTGATAAGTGGATACCTCCGTGTTGCCATCTACTGTTTGCAAGAATACCACAAAGTGCTGAATTCATTTGCCCTGGAAATCTAAAAGGTGGCTAAAAGCTGCTGACATGCCTACAGGTATAGCGGATGTTGGGAGCAAGGAGACACTACCATCTTGCTATAACAAGAAACTCAATACCAAGGACCTTGAAGAAAAAAGTATTAAACTTCGAGAAAAATTAGCTTGTTGACAGTGTCTTGTTTCGTAAACTGAAGGCATCATCATCAGTTTCTACTTGTGCTGTTAAGCGGCGTGAGGAGGTACAGTCTGCGATCCAAGGCTTTATATCAGTTAATTTTCTCCTATGGCGATCTCTTGCTTTCCGATCAGATCTTCCCCGTGTGGGTTCCTGAGCCCTATTATAGGGAAAACAAGAATAGACCCACTGCCTACCCAAAAGCATGTCGTAAGAGTCGACTAATTTGGAGCTTCCTTTGAAGTCGGAGTACATCTGCCTGAGAAGCAAGGAACCAGCATTCTGCATACAAATTAGTCAGATCTGTAAAACGGATGCACACGCAACACTCAGGTTCTAGAACAGGACTGCAGTCCGAAAGTGGATGAACAACCAAAACTTTTCGTCAGAGTTTACAGCTGGTGAACATGAAGAAGAAGAAGATCAGATCTTTTCCACTGTAGATCTCTTGCTTTCAGATCAGATCTTTTCCGCTGTAGATCTCTTGCTTTCAGATCAGATCTTTTCCGCTGTAGATCTCTTGCTTTCAGATCAGATCTTTTCCGCTGTAGATCTCTTGCTTTCAGATCAGATCTTTTCCGCTGTAGATCTCTTTCTTTCAGATCAGATCTTTTCCGCTGTAGATCTCTTGCTTTCAGATCAGATCTTTTCCGCTGTAGATCTCTTGCTTTCAGATCAGATCTTTTCCGCTGTAGATCTCTTGCTTTCAGATCAGATCTTTTCCGCTGTAGATCTCTTGCTTTCAGATCAGATCTTTTCCGCTGTAGATCTCTTGCTTTCAGATCAGATCTTTTCCGCTGTAGATCTCTTGCTTTCAGATCAGATCTTTTCCGCTGTAGATCTCTTGCTTTCAGATCAGATCTTTTCCGCTGTAGATCTCTTGCTTTCAGATCAGATCTTTTCCGCTGTAGATCTCTTGCTTTCAGATCAGATCTTTTCCGCTGTAGATCTCTTGCTTTCAGATCAGATCTTTTCCGCTGTAGATCTCTTGCTTTCAGATCAGATCTTTTCCGCTGTAGATCTCTTGCTTTCAGATCAGATCTTTTCCGCTGTAGATCTCTTGCTTTCAGATCAGATCTTTTCCGCTGTAGATCTCTTGCTTTCAGATCAGATCTTTTCCACTGTAGATCTCTTGCTTTCAGATCAGATCTTTTCCGCTGTAGATCTCTTGCTTTCAGATCAGATCTTTTCCGCTGTAGATCTCTTGCTTTCAGATCAGATCTTTTCCGCTGTAGATCTCTTGCTTTCAGATCAGATCTTTTCCGCTGTAGATCTCTTGCTTTCAGATCAGATCTTTTCCGCTGTAGATCTCTTGCTTTCAGATCAGATCTTTTCCGCTGTAGATCTCTTGCTTTCAGATCAGATCTTTTCCGCTGTAGATCTCTTGCTTTCAGATCAGATCTTTTCCGCTGTAGATCTCTTGCTTTCAGATCAGATCTTTTCCGCTGTAGATCTCTTGCTTTCAGATCAGATCTCTTCCGCTGTAGTGCCTGTGTTGGTAGTTGTTGTGGCTGCCTTCTAACTAGATGACCAAACCATTTGATCTTCTGTTTCTTGACGAATATGGTGCATGATGTTGTTACCCCAGGCTGATATCATTTCTCTCTTTGTCGCGGAATATAAAGGTAGTGCTTTTCTCAGATATCTCATGGGTTTTAATTTTACACACGCTAGCCTTTGATAATGTCCAAGTTTGGCACTGGCAGCACAGTGTTGGTGCGTACATGCTGTTAACAATTTGTTTCGTGGAGCTCACACTTATGTTTGAATGTTTTATCAACGTTGTCAGTTAGTAAATAAGTGAATTTCTCATGGCATCTTATTTTTATTTCACGATCTATTCTCCCCTCCTCCGAGAATATACTTCCTAAATATTTCAATGCCTCAGACGAGTCCCATTCAGCGCTATACGTAGGGGGATAGGAATTCTTCTGGCTTACTTTACTTCAGTTTAGTCTATTTCAGGTTATATTTTCTGGTCATTTAACCTAGCCTGTTTAAGTGGCCTTGTAGTCTACTCCAATCAGTACAGAAGAGGCATTGATATGCATTTAGAAGATCTTTTATTTTTGTTTTCCTCTGGAATGTAGTTTTTCATTTTCTGGGTTTTCCAAGTTTTTTTTCCAGTCAAATACTTTAAAACTTGCTTCTTTAGAAATTCTGAGTATCCATTTATTAAATAAGAGAGGTGAGAGCACACATCACTGCCTCACCCATGTATTGACTGCAGACATGTCGGATATGCCTCCCTGTGATCTCAATACGCTTTAAAAAGTGTAGTGCATGGCCGTGATTTTATCTATCAGTTGTCCAAGCAATTCTATCCCGTAATCCTTAAAAAAAAAAATTCCATATTTATTTATGTCTTCTCTAGCAGAAATTTTTTAAACGATCTACACAGAGGATATTAAGCTATGAACATGCTTCATAAAATCGCTACATGTAGTCTGCGCTCTCTCAGAGAGAGAGAGAGATAGAGACATACAGAGACAGAGAGAGACACACAGAGAGAGAGAGAGAGAGAGAGACAGAGAGAGGGTGACAGAGACAGAGAGAGAGAGTGACAGAGAGAGACACAAGCAATAACATAAAAAACATGTAGCCCAGTGATGATGTGTTAAAATTCTTACCGACTTATGAATTATTCTTTACAATTGAGCAAGGCTATCCAGTCAAGCCAGCAAAAATGGGTACTAGAAAAAGTCCTGAAAAGTAAAGGCAGCTACCCTATCATCCATATGCCCAATGTTCTAGAAATTGTGAAAATATGCCCTTTTGCTTTTGTTATGCCAGCTTGGCTCTAATACAAGTATACCTGGTTCTGCTGATGAATGTGTATAAACCTTTTATTTTTTATGTACAAAATTGTATACAACAGAAAATATATAAATCATATAAGTGAACTGGTCATATTATAAACACAATCTGCAGCAAAACCCAGTAAACATAAACATTATACAAAACAAATAATTGTATGCAGTTTAAATTCATAAACAGTGTATTCTGTTTTCAAAATAGTGAAAAGCAGAAGTATTTTCCCCCTCCGATGGTTGTGATTTCTCTTGGATTGTTCTGTTCCTTTATCACAGACCCCTATTTTGTGTGCATTTCCAATGTAGGATTCTGTGTTTTTCATGGCAGCAGCATGTATTGTGGTTATGCTATGTCAGGGTAAGAGAAGGACCAACAGTTTTGGCAGCTTCAACCAAGCTGCTTTCGAAATGTTTTGATTACGGCCCACTAAGCGGGAATACAGAATCTCGTCAGTGATGCGTGTGGTCAGGGATACACATCATGCTGGCCCAGTATCTGAGGGATTTGTGATAAAAATGTCTGACCTCCAAACGTACACACAGATTCTCTCATGGCCGTACACTTTCCTTGGCACAGCCCATGCTGTCAGTAATTATCACTGGAGTAAAGGATCGCCAACCAACAATAAGAACACCACTTTATTCCAGGCACACATAACTAACATGTCCTATTGTAACCATTAACATTGTCCACGAGCACTGAAACACATCATGCCAAGTATAATCTTACAGTGCAATCAGTCTTTATTATGGACAAACACATCACGACGAAGAGGAGTGGTAATTGATAGCACACTGTCAAGTCTTCTAATGCCTTCCGAATATTCACATTGGCAGTCTCTCCACACATGGACAAACACTCCAGTGAACTATGCACCAGGTGCCTGTTATGCGCAACTTACACCCTATGTGATGTGCAGTGACAATCCTCTGATGGTTCCTCCTCTAAAGGACTACGCCCCTTGGACTCAAGGGGCATGCACCTCTTGGTGAAAGACTCGAGACCTCCCGTTGCTACCCCAGCCAGTCAGTGAAGCATCACTGACTAACAACCTGGTAATCAGCCTCCAATACTTGCCCATCACAATCCCACGTTGGTCAACTCACACAAGTTCCCCAGCACCTTCTGTGCACTTAAGGACACAGTTAACCAACACCACATAGTCACAGCTGTGTCGACTCACACACACCTGGCCGACACATAGAAATCACAATGACATAATTCCAAAATATACCAAAACCATTGGACAGTTCATGGGTAGCTCCACAGAATAAAACCACAGAATACAACTGCCATACTAAGTTCATACGTGCACAAGACTTGAACCAAATGTGCACACGGGTCCACACTGACTGACTGAAAGCTACTGACTCAAACTACTGGACTTTTCCTACCTGCAGCCAGTTACACGTGAATTTCACCTACCCCATACAACTCAGGAAGTTTGCAGCCACCCGTGAACAACATGCAATCTCTGTTTCACAACTTTTACGTGGCTCATACGTTTATATTTTATATTCCCAACATGTCGCACAAAGTTGTGGCTTCATCAACTCTTTACAATCTCTAGTGATTTCGCACACAACAGTCAGCAGGTGAAGGCAGTTGTCTAGGGAGAAAACTTGATCAAATCTGTCTCCAGGAATTTTTTTTTTTTTGGTAGGGAGGAATCGACACATACAGTTAACTCAATGGCCATACACAGTGCAATCTGTATTCACTCAAGTGTTAACGGCAACATATATAAATCATGAACTTGAATTTATATAATCACACATGACCTGAGACAAAATCCAAAAGATAAGGACTCACAATATAAGGTACAAGTGGTATCATCATGATCATCATCATGTGGTAGATCAACCAAACACAACATTGTTGCACATATAGTTAGCTGTGTATCCTTTAGACGACATTGCAACCAATCACACATTTGTTGACTGTTTGGTTTGACCAGGCAATTTTGATGTTCAGTAGTATGCTACTGCTTTCTCAATGGTCGGCTCTGGATACCATTGTCTAATTCAACGCAAAATTGTCTGCTGCCAAACAGTTCGCAGCTGGAATAAAACCGGTTACAATATATCGGAACTGAAAACTGCATTTGCAACCCTTTAGCCAAAGATGCTCTACATCTTTTCCTTGTCTAAGAAAATATGCAACTTAACAGAAAAATGAAAAGATTACATCGGTAGGATTAAACAAAAAAATTCTTGGATAGCCTAGAGTGCAGGAGAGTCTAAAGGTCAGAGTTTTTTTTATCTGACTATACCGCACCTGGCAGACTGTCTGGATCTGCAGGCTTCTCACTATCTGTGTTTTATTTTTATAACCTGTTCAAATGAAAATAGTGTTGACAAATATAATTGATACTTTAGGGATGTTGTTTGAATGAGATGATTTGTTTTTTTCCCCCACCAAAGCCATATAAGTAAATTCATCAGTGGATACACTATAGCTGACCTTCCTTGTTTAGACAAGACTTTGAACAACAACACAAACAGTACTACTACAGAAATGTGTTTAGCCTTCAAGATTCAGCAGACAATGTCAGACATGGCAACAAATGCAGTCCATTAAGTCAAGTTTAGTAATTTCTGGCAAGTTCTTCTTTAGCTTTTCCCTGCTTCTTTGGCATCTTTTTCCCAGAGCCATCTTCCAAATCTTTGGCCTTGTAGTAATGAGGAGCCACTTCTAGCAGCCAGAGGTTTTCAATCTCAATCACCTGCAAGATGAGAACAGAAATGGTAGTAACAATCATATCACATTTTCATGGTGTGTATTCACTACAACATGTAGCATATGTATTCCCAGTTTATGGACTCTACTGCATCAGTCACATAAACACTTCCCTAAGGTAAACATTGCTGAGAGAAGGTAAACACTGCTGAGAGAAGGCAAACATTGCTGAGAGAAGGCAAACACTGCTGAGAGAAGGTAAACACTGCTGAGAGAAAGCACACATTGCTGAGAGAAGGTAAACACTGCCGAGAAAAGGCAAACACTGCTGAGAGAAGGTAAACATTGCTGAGAGAAGGCAAACACTGCTGAGAGAAAGCATACATTGCTGAGAGAAGGTAAACACTGCCGAGAAAAGGCAAACACTGCTGAGAGAAGGCAAACACTGCTGAGAGAAGGCAAACACTGCTGAGAGAAGGCAAACATTGCTGAGAGAAGAAAAGTGCAGGAATTGATTCCATCCATGATACTAAAGTGCCTGCAGAGAATAGAATGGAATGGGGAAGTAGACTGCAAGCCCTATGTGACATATAATGGCACAACAGGGCAAGGAATGAAAACATAAGAGACCCAGAGAATGGATTAGTTACTTGCATCAGAAGCAGATAGCCCTCAGTATTTGGGCACGACATAAGAAGGGAATAAACTGGTCTGGAGTTTGCCATGACTACAGGAATGCTGAAAAGAAAGTCACGAGAGACCAAGACAGAAAATGCTAGACAGTTTGGTATCAAAAGCATAAAGAGACATCTCCATAAAAAATGCCTGGCAGCAAAAGTGATAGTAGGCAGTTGACCGACATAACAACCAATGCACACACCGTGACTTTTAGACAAAGATTACATTTTTAAGTGTGCACCTTTTGAGATAGATTAAAATATACCAGCCACTGTTTTATTCCTTTTCTCAACGAAAAATCTTTCTTCTTGTTCTTATACTCAATGCCATGTCGAGTTGGTAGCCAGATCTGCCCACAACCTTCTGTGTCAATTATTTCTGACACAGATAATATTTCATTTCATGCTATCAAACTGTTCAGGATCTTCTCTCTCAACTCACTTCCTCTCTAACTTTCCTACGGTCACAATATATTCCTGTTTTTTTCCTATTGTGATGAATGAGAAGCATGTAGATTTTCTTCCGCTGAAGTTGGTAATCAGTTCTCTTCATGAGTTAACTTCTTTCAAGTCATCTTTATGTCTCTTATCATGATTGTGTTCGCATGGCGAGAGAGACTCCCCGCCCCATTTATGCGGCAGCCAGTCATAGGCCCTGTCCTATGTTGAGGGTGTCAGTATTCCTTATTTTCAATGGTTCAATCGTTCTCTCTTTTCTCGTGTTGTCAATTGTGAGATTACTGGCTCGTTGTGCTACTTGCACAATGGTTGGTGAGTAGTGAAACTAGGATGTTTTTGTATAGTTACTTTTCTTCACAGTCGCTTCGGGGATGGGGGGTTCGTTACATGCATGTGTTGTTCAGTTCATGAGTGTAGCTGTTAACGGAGATCCACGGGGATCACCACTTGAGCTAGGGAGTTTGTACTTTCTGCAATGCTCTCTGCCAGCACAAGCCATCTTACAAACAGAGACTGGGCTTTATGGGACACTCTGGTGCAAGGAAGTTGATCCTCTCGACTGTAACTTTGTCAACTCTGTTACAGGGTCAGAGTACTAGCATGATCTTACTCAACTTAGTCAAAGGGTAAAACAGGATGTGATCTTACTCAACCTAGTCAAAGGGTAAAACAGGACGTGATCTTACTCAACCTAGTCAAAGGGTAAAACAGGACGTGATCTTACTCAACTTAGTCAAAGGGTAAAACAGGACGTGATCTTACTCAACCTAGTCAAAGGGTAAAACAGGATGTGATATTACTCAACCTAGTCAAAGGGTAAAACATGACATGATCTCCCTCAACCAAGTCAAAGGGTAAAACAGAATGTGATATTACTCAACCTAGTCAAAGGGTAAAACAGGACGTGATCTTACTCAACCTAGTCAAAGGGTAAAACAGGACGTGATCTTACTCAACCTAGTCAAAGGGTAAAACAGGACGTGATCTTACTCAACTTAGTCCAAGGGTAAAACAGGACGTGATCTTACTCAACCTAGTCAAAGGGTAAAACAGGACATGATCTTACTCAACCTAGTCAAAGGGTAAAACAGGATGTGATATTACTCAACCTAGTCAAAGGGTAAAACAGGGCGTGATCTTACTCAACCTAGTCAAAGGGTAAAACAGGATGTGATATTACTCAACCTAGTCAAAGGGTAAAACAGGGTGTGATCTTACTCAACTTAGTCAAAGGGTAAAACAGGATGTGATCTTACTCAACCTAGTCAAAGGGTAAAACAGGGTGTGATCTTACTCAACCTAGTCAAAGGGTAAAACAGGGTGTGATCTTACTCAACTTAGTCAAAGGGTAAAACAGGACGTGATCTTACTCAACCTAGTCAAAGGGTAAAACAGGGTGTGATCTTACTCAACCTAGTCAAAGGGTAAAACAGGATGTGATCTTACTCAACCTAGTCAAAGGGTAAAACAGGGTGTGATCTTACTCAACCTAGTCAAAGGGTAAAACAGGATGTGATCTTACTCAACCTAGTCAAAGGGTAAAACAGGATGTGATCTCCCTCAACCAAGTCAAAGGGTAAAACAGGATGTGATCTTACTCAACTTAGTCAAAGGGTAAAACAGGACGTGATCTTACTCAACTTAGTCAAAGGGTAAAACAGGACGTGATCTTACTCAACCTAGTCAAAGGGTAAAACAGGATGTGATCTTACTCAATCTAGTCAAAGGGTAAAACAGGACGTGATCTCAATCAACCTAGTCAAAGGGTAAAACAGGACGTGATCTTACTCAACCTAGTCAAAGGGTAAAACAGGACGTGATCTTACTCAACTTAGTCCAAGGGTAAAACAGGACGTGATCTTACTCAACCTAGTCCAAGGGTAAGACAGGATGTGATCTTACTCAACCTAGTCCAAGGGTAAAACAGGACGTGATCTTACTCAACCTAGTCAAAGGGTAAAACAGGGCGTGATCTTACTCAACCTAGTCAAAGGGTAAAACATGATGTGATCTTACTCAACCTAGTCAAAGGGTAAAACAGGACGTGATCTTACTCAACCTATTCCAAGGGTAAAACAGGGCTTGATCTTACTCAACTTAGTCAAAGGGTAAAACAGGGCGTGATCTTACTCAACCTAGTCAAAGGGTAAAACAGGGCGTGATCTTACTCAACTTAGTCAAAGGGTAAAACAGGACGTGATCTTACTCAACCTAGTCAAAGGGTAAAACAGGACGTGATCTCAATCAACCTAGTCCAAGGATACAACAGGGCGTGATCTTACTCAACTTAGTCCAAGGGTAAAACAGGGCATGATCTTACTCAACCTAGTCAAAGGGTAAAACAGGGCGTGATCTTACTCAACCTAGTCAAAGGGTAAAACAGGACGTGATCTTACTCAACTTAGTCAAAGGGTAAAACAGGACATGATCTTACTCAACTTAGTCAAAGGGTAAAACAGGGCGTGATCTTACTCAACTTAGTCAAAGGGTAAAACAGGACGTGATCTTACTCAACTTAGTCAAAGGGTAAAACAGGGCGTGATCTTACTCAACTTAGTCAAAGGGTAAAACAGGGCGTGATCTTACTCAACTTAGTCAAAGGGTAAAACAGGGCGTGATCTTACTCAACCTAGTCAAAGGGTAAAACAGGGTGTGATCTTACTCAACCTAGTCCAAGGGTTAACAGGACATTTCCTAGTACCCAGTGTAGATTGAAAATTAATAAATTCTTAAAATACAGTAGAGGCACCTCCATACCTGTCTCATAAATTCCTTTGTGGTAAAGACAAGCTCGTGATAGATCAGCCATCTCGGGTGCTCTTCAAACAGGCAACTGTTGGGATGAACCATCACCGTCTGCTGGGATTTAACTGTTTTATACTGCCCTCCTTTTGTCAGTCGGACAGTGTGGTAAAAATATCCTGCAGTTATAGCCTGAAGAAATAAAATACAACATACAACATATCAAAGTAAAAGATCCATCCTTCCACATTAGTGTGACATTAGGGATATGGTCAATTGTTATCTTCATGAGCAACGGTCTTGAGAGTTCAGCATCACAATGATTACCATACATTTCTGACATTTAAAAAAAAAAAGTTGTTAATACACCTATTATACAAGAGATGTAGAGGCAGACCTTTGTGAAAGTGGATACAGGACAGTGAAGATGTATTGACTGTGAAAGTACGGAGGGCTGGAGAATTGGCTAGAGAGGGACTTTCAGACGTCCCATGAAGAGAGCCATTTCCTGTAACGGACCTGCTGACTGATGATGATGATTATATAAGAAATGGGAACCGTCCTGACAGTTTGAATAGGATATTTGCCACTCAGGCTCGTGACCATAAGTTCCAACTCCCAAAAGAGGACCAAAAAAAAAAAAAACTGCAGATGTGGTAAGAGCTGAGCATCTGAGATGAAACAAGTCCATTCACAATGTCAAAATTAGTTCCAAAATCCACACATTTATTGTGAACGATTGTTCCTTAATGTCCTGTGAAGTAAAAGCTGACATAAAATTGACCACAATAATCAATCACTCAGTGCTGAATGGTCTACAGAAGTAAGCAGCAAGCACCATATGCCCTATAATCCTCACAGGTATAATGAAGCAGTTTAATAGAATATGCATATATAGTATCTCCACCACTGCAGGTCCCAAGCCTGAATGAGAAAGGAGGAGAGTTAGGAGTGGAGTCAGCTCCCCCACCCTGCAAAAAAAAAAAAAAAAATTTATCTGCTACAGAAACTTCCAGGAAAGTTTATGGAACTCTAAATTGTATAGTTTTAAAAACCAAGTTACATATTTTCAATTCCAGCATTATTTCAATTTTAACAAATGCAAGTGAAAGCTGGAGAACCATTAACAGGGTTCATAGCCAAATTTACCAATCAATTTCAAGGCTTTTCAAGGTCTTTTTCAAGGCCTCCTTAGTTTTTTTCAAGGTTGTCTCGGTGTAATACTAATACAAGATTTTTGCCTTGTTCAAGGGTGTACTGGAAATCTCTAAGTGAGGCCACTTTTCCGGTTCCTACCCTCTCCCAATGTGAATGTGGCCGTGGTCCAAAAACAACAGTGCTAACCCCTACTGCCCCTTGCTTGTCCTATCTGTGTGTGACAACAATAATTTATTTCTTACACTTAAGGATGGTGACCTGAGAGCCAAGGTCATTTTATGAAGAAAAAAAAAAAGTCCAGGGGATCCCAACCCACCACTGGTGGAAAATAGAGAAGTTTACCCACACACATAAATAGGTCAGACACATAAATAGGTCAGGGCAGCAGTGGACTTCATTTTATTTCTGGTTTTCCAATTACAGAAAGGAGGGGAGAGAGGAGGTGGTGGAAAAGTGGTGTAGAAGGCTGAGGTGGTAAGGTGAGACAGAGGAGGTGAGAGAATAAAAGTTTAAGAAAATAAAGTGGGAATGAGACAGGGAGAGAAAAGAAGGGAGTAAGAAATAAGATGAGATATAGAGGGAAGAAGGTAGCAGGAAGGGGTGCACTCCCTCCCCTAGGTGTCATCAATGTGGGAGGAGAAAAGGGGGGGGGGGGGAAGGTGACGGCAAATGTGTTTTTAAAAGTACACATATATTTAATGTGTGGGAGGGGGGAATGATGGACATGAAATGTTCTGCACTAGGCAACACATAACCTTATACACCAACTGAAGGTATGGAGAAAGAAAGAAAGAGAGAGAGAGAAAGAGAGGGAGGGAGTGAGGGAGAGCGGCAAATACAAAGAGAGAGAGGAAAGCAGTGACACAGACAGTCAGAGAGTGAGGAACAGGTAGGACAAAAATGTGAGGGGGCGGGAAGGGAGATGGACAGAGATTAAGGCCGCTAGGAAAACAAACACATCAAAAGAAAATATCCACCATGTTCACACAGAACAATACAACTTCCTGTGTACTTGAGTTGCTAGGGAGAGTTATGGAGCCGCACATTTACTAAACATTTAAACAAGAAATAAAATAGGAAAAAGGGGGAGGGGGACAGGAAATGAGAGAGTAAAAGAAAAGATAGAGAGAAAGAGAAGAAGATGAAGATCAGAAGGGAGGGTTAGAGACAATGCAGGAGACGGGAAGGAAGGAGCAATAGGTAGAAGAGTGAAAGAGGGAGGGAAGAGAGAGAGAGAGGGGTGAGACAACAGAAGAGGGAATCTCGGGGGAATTACAAATACTGATCGCCAAACACACTGTAAAGATAAATCCAGGCCAAAAATAGAACTGGGGAAATCCAGCTGCAGTCACTTTGCTTAGCCCCAATGCCATCTCTAATTAATAGAGAAGGCCGTGCTTAGCCCCCACCACGGCGACTCTATTTATAAATACAACTGCACCGAGCCCCACCATCTCCCAATGTAATCCTTTCTAGAAACCACGGCCATAAACGATTTAAACTGTTCATTCTGCCGGACTCGCTAGAAACAAAGGCACACACACACTGCGCGCGAGACGGAATCTGCTACTTCCCGCCCCATGCCACAACCGCAGCAACAATGCTGTCTGCATGTCTGCAGTTTTCATGATCAGCAACAAAGCCCGCCCTCCCCTGGCCTTTAACAAGCCATTTCGGCTGAAAATAGCCCTCACACCTGAAACGACCATACAACGAAAGTAGCCAAAAAGCCAAAAAAAGCCAAATGGCTCCCTCAAAATTGCCTGTGCTGAAAAACACAGGATTTCTGACGATTTCATTGCCGCGGTCAAAATTCACGGGTTTTTAAGGTCGGAATGTCTTTTATAAGCTAAAAATCCCGGTTCAAGGTCAACGAAAAAAATCCCGGTAATTTCCCGATTTCCCGGTCCACTACGAACCCTGCCATATGTAGGTCGACCCAGCCTTTCGTGGGTACCAAGTATAGTCGACCGGTCTATAATAGATCTAGCCCTACATGCTTAATATGCATGAAGGTTTGAAAAAGGTCCTTTACTTTTTTATTTCAATAACAACAAAAGAGGACAAAAAAAAACTGCAGATGTGGTAAGAGCTGAGCATCTGAGATGAAACAAGTCCATTCACAATGTCAAAATTAGTTCCAAAATCCACACATTTATTGTGAACGATTGTTCCTTAATGGCCTGTGAAGTAAAAGCTGACATAAAATTGACCACAATAATCAATCACTCAGTGCTGAATGGTCAACACAAGTAAGCAGCAAGCACCATATGCCCTACAATCCTCACATGTATAATGAAGCAGTTTAATAGAATATGCATATATAGTATCTCCACCACTGCAGGTCCCAAGCCTGAATGAGAAAGGAGGAGAGTTAGGAGTGGAGTCGGCTCCCCCACCCTGCAAAAAAAAAAAAATTTATCTGCTACAGAAACTTCCAGGAAAGTTTATGGAACTCTAAATTGTATAGTTTTAAAAACCAAGTTACATATTTTACATAATTCCAGCATTATTTCAATTTTAACAAATGCAAGTGAAAGCTGGAGAACCATTAAAGACATGGAACAAAAGCTCAATGCATTCAGAAACAAATGTCTGAGGAAAATAAAATGGGATAAATTGAAAAGGAGTGAAGGAATAAGACAAATGTCTGGGCAACAGCTAGTATCAACAGTTATGAGACAAAGAAAATGGTACTACATTGGACACATGCTGATAAGAAACCAGCAGATATTAAAAGACAGGCATTAAATTGGGAGGAAAAAGGGATTAAGGATGCCAAAAAGAAACAATAGGACGAAGGTTGACGAGAGAGGTCAAAGCTGCTGGAACGGATTCCATTCATGATATTGAACTGATTGCACAGGACAGAGCAGAATGCAGAAATAGACTGAGAGCCCTATGTGACATATAATGGCACAACATGACAATGAATGAATGTATAGTAAAGTTTCTTCTTCTTCTTATAGCCCATGTTGACTGGCATTGGTAGCCATGTCTATCCACAACCTTTAGCTTTGTGTACTTGTAATCAGTTCTGACACATATGATCTTCTATGTCATGATGTTAAATTGTCCAGCATATTCTCTTTTGGGTCACCACTTGTCTCTTTTCCTGCTCAGCTTTCCCCACTGTTACAATGAAGTCTAGTTTTCTCCTTCTCATGACCTGTCTAAATCATGGAGATTGCTTCCTTCTGTCACAATGAAGTCTAGTTTTCTCCTTCTCATGACCTGTCTAAATCATGGAGATTGCTTCCTTCTGTCACAATGAAGTCTAGTTTTCTCCTTCTCATGACCTGGCTAAATCATGGAGATTGCTTCCTTCTGTCACAATGAAGTCTAGTTTTCTCCTTCTCATGACCTGTCTAAATCATGCAGATTGTTTCCTTCTGATGTGGGCCATCAGTTCTCTTTGTGAGTCAATCTTCATTCCTCTTTTTATCTGCCCATGGTTCTGCCATCATTCGTTTATAAAACCATATCTCTGTCACTTCCACATAATTGTTTTAACAATCAGCCAACTGTTAATGATTCCCTTCTGTTACAGTTATGTCCATCATTTCTGGTAGCTTGTTTATCTTCAGCTATCACAACTATATCATCAGCGTATTGCAGGCTGTTCACAATAAACGCACCAGTCAATATTTCTGGCATGCCATGTATGTATCCTTCTCTTCTTCTTCTTGTTCATGTTCACCGGTTGCAAACTCTGGCAGAAAGTTCTGGTTATTCGTCCACTTCTGGACTCTAGTCTTGTTCCAGAACCTGAGAGTTATGTGCACATCCATTTTTTACAGATATGACTCAAGTGTATGCAGACTACTGGTTTCTTGCCTCTTAGGCAGATGCGCTTTTTTCCCCGAATGAGGTCCCCAAGTAGCAAACTCTTACCACATGCTTTTTGGGTAGGCAGTGGATCCTTTTTTCGTTTTTAACACAATAGGGCCCCAGAACCAACACGGGGATGTATGTATCTATCTCATTATTATTATTTCACTGTACAAATAGTGAAGAGGATCAGAGTGAAATAAACCACACACTTATAACAGTACCGCCATGAATGTTTCCTAATCAATAAAAACACACCTTTCTGATAGCCTGGGTGTCACTGGGATTCGACACCATGTCAATCTCCACACGCTCCAACAGGCCCTCCAGCTGATCCCTGATGTCCCGAGCCCGTTTCATCGACCGATGCTGTATGTAATTCTCATAGCACCACTGTGTCGAATAATCGGTCTCCTCCCACTGGGTGTAGACATTCAGGAGGGTCAGGTGATCACCACCCGGGACGAAGAAGTTATGACGGGCTGTGTCTGCATGCACAATTTTATCTTTAGGCCGGTAGAAAACTGCGTTGTTTACAGATAGCATTGCAGCAATGGTGACAATTTCTTTGGAGCATTTGTACCTGTTTATGCAGAAAACAATGTAATTCGTTACATAAATGTATCTGTTAATGTCTAAAATGAATACTGTTTATCATAGGTTCTGTGGAGAGTGGGAGTTAAGAACTGCTTAAATACAGAAACAAGTGAAGTATTTCAATCACATTAAAAGTTTAAGAGGGAAAAGTCGAAGGCAAGACAGCAAGAGGTAGAAAGCGATACAAGTGGGAGGATAATATCGAGAGATGGAAGACCAGCAGACTAAGAGTGTGAACCACTATGACAAGAGATGAGAGTGTTGGAGATCCAATAGAGCCAGTTCTGCGGAGATGACACCTGACTGATCAAGATGAATGGTGGCACCAGTGTCCAGTATGCAGTTCCTTTGAATGAATTAATGAAGAACTGACATCACTGCACTGCACAATGTTGCTACCTACTACTGACACATGCCAACATCAACACAGAAAACCCCACGCACATCAATGCCCTGGGCAACAAATGGTCAAATTTTTGAAACAGCAGCTCAGTGTAATAATTAGAATCTGAATGCTAATCGTAACCACTCTAGGTAACTAATATAATCGCAGAAATCAACAGTAACTTGTATGCATTCAATGATGTCTTTAAATTTATCTTTATCATTTTTACAAAGGTTTTTTAAAACCAAAGTGTACAGACATTTTTGGAGAACTCTATATAGAATAATGTGCAGAAGCTTCCAGCCTTACTTTTCCGACGCCAATATCATCTTGGACATCATGGGATCCACAGGAAACTCTGCCATTCGCCGTCCAAGTTTAGTCAACTCCCCCATGTGATTGAGGGCACCGAGGGCGTACAACTGCTCCAGGGCCAGGACCAACGTCTCGTGGGGAGGTGGGTCCATGAAGTCAAAGTTCAAAAGGTCATTGATGCCCAGAGACTTCAGCAACAGCACAACATTGCCCAGGTTCGTCCGCTGGATTTCCGGAATGGAGTTGTCCTCCAGCTCATTCTTGTACGCCCAGGCTGTGTAGAGGCGGAAGCACTTGCCAGCCGACACTCGCCCAGCTCTTCCTGCTCTCTGATTTGCTGATGCCTGAAATAAGGAGACAATGTAACAGTGAAAGAAAACAAAATAATGAACACAACAGTGTCTACTTTTTCTTCTTCTCTAGTCCTTTTCTATGTTTCAGCATCAGGTTTTGAAGAGGCACTGGGTACGAGCCTCGGTTTGTGCTGTGCTGATGCTGGTATTTACAGCCTCTGATATTCCATCTATCCATCGCTTGTGAGGTTGATCTCTAGTTCTACTCCATTATGTTTAAGTGACAGGGCTCTCTGTCGTGCACTATCTGGTTGAAGTCCTGAAATATGCCTGAACCATTTGATCTGTTGTCTAAGTTACAACAGTCTCACTAACAGCATATACAGGTTTATACACTACAGTTCTGTGTTTCTTACTTTTAGTGGCAGAGATGTGCTGCTTAAATGTAGCTGTATATTACAATTCTCTATACATTACAACAAAAGTTCCTGTTCTTAACTTCAGTAGCAAGGAGATGGTCCCTCAATTTGTTAGTTTTCCACATTTAACACTAAAGTTCCTGTTCTTAACTTCAATGGCACGGAGATGGTCCCTCAATTTGTTAGTTTTCCACATTTAACACTAAAGTTCCTGTTCTTAACTTCAATGGCACGGAGATGGTCCTGCAATTTGTTAGTTTTCCACATTTAACACTTAAGTTTCTGTTCTTAACTTCAGTAGCAAGGAGATGGTCCCTCAATTTGTTAGTTTTCCACATTTAACACTAAAGTTCCTGTTCTTAACTTCAATGGCACGGAGATGGTCCCTCAATTTGTTAGTTTTCCACATTTAACACTTAAGTTTCTGTTCTTAACTTCAGTGGCAAGGAGATGGTCCCGCAATTTGTTAGTTTTCCACATTTAACACTAAAGTTCCTGTTCTTAACTTCACTGGCGGGGAGATGTAACCTCAGTGCAGTTGTTTGCTACAATTTTTTCACAAACAACACTTAAAGTTCTGTTTCTTACGTCCTATGACAAGGAGTTTTGATTATGGTGCACAAGGTTTTGTGAAATCCAGTGCAAAAATTAATACAGCAGAAAGAAGGAAGCAACATAATCAAACATGATATCACAACAGAGAACAATATAAAATAACTACCAGAACTGGCATAAAAAACAAGGAAAGATAACATAAGAGAAACTCTACAACAGCATCAACTATCTATGGTGGGGGTGGCCAAAGAGCAGGAATATTGTACCTCCCTTGACATCTGAAGCGGTTAATCAGGTATTTAGAAAGCTTAGAGAAAGGTAAGAAGAATAAGTTAAGAAGAAGAAGAAACACAGGCTTTTTTACTTGGAACAAAAGAACAAATATATTTCAAGAGCAAAATGCACAACAAAAGCTTACTTTTGAGATTGGAGTAACAACAAGGGACTCCATTCCAGTCCTGGCATTGTAGCTCTTCTGTTTGCAAAAGCCAGGATCAATCACATACACGATGCCATCAATGGTCAGAGAAGTCTCTGCAATATTTGTTGCTAGCACAACCTGTTCAGGCAAGATTTACAAAACAGTTCCTGAAATAATACACTCGTAATTCTCTAATCTTTATTCTGACAACATAAATAAGGGAAATAAAAAAATCATTATCCAACTTTAGAACCTATCATCATTATCATGTAGCAGGTCCTTTACAGAACGTCACTCCCATCTCTGTCTGTCTGAAAGAAACTCGGTCTCTCGCCAGCTCTCCCGCCCTCATGTACTTTCATACTCAAGGAGTCACGTATATCCTGTGCCCATCTTCGTGTTGGCCGGCCTTGCCCCTCCTTCCTGGTACTGTGCCTTCTGCTATTTTTTTTTTCTAATTTCCATGGCACTTGATATGACCAAAATATTTCAGCTTCTGAGATAAGATGCTGTTTATTAGCAAATCTTCCTTGATGTTCAAATCTTTTAAAATGTGAGTTTTCCTCCTTTATTTATTCTTGATGTTCTGTAATGTTTCTATAACATTTCAGCTCAAAAGCCCCTATTTTCTTTCTTAAGGACTGGGAGATAGAAGTAGAACGGAGCACTTATGGGTTACACCAGTAATTTTGATCCATAGACTAAACCTAAACCTATTTATTACAGAGCCTAGATATTCAAAGTTTGTGACATTTGGTTTCTTCATCATTTATTATTTTTTGGGTGACAGCTGTTTTGTCTGTGGACATTATTTTATTTTCTTTAAATTTAAGAACAGGTTTTGGTCCTTAATGTGCTTTTGGGGACAGACATGATTAAATTTTCTATTTCCTTTACACTAGAACCTATACTATTATGGACATATGGTATGCCACAACTAACACTAGCTATACCCCAAATAACCTCAACACATCTATTTTATCATACTGCACAAAAGGTCCACATTTGTTGCAATGCAAACTATAGAACTATTAGCTTGGCTCTTTCAGTCCCAAGGAGTTGTTACTTTACCTCCTTCTACCCCAAAGAGTTTAGCTTATAAGCAATAAATAGTCTGACCCTAAGGAGTTCAGCATAGCCATTACAAGACATAAAAAGTAACTAGTAATCTAGACAATAAAGAGTGATATAACTTCTGTGACAGAACACAGGTGGTAAATTATCTTTGGAATGATCTGGAAATGCACAGTGAGTCGTTTGGGACTGAAAGAATTATTGAGCCATCAAACTAAGATGGCCTCGAGGAAACAAAAAAAAAAAAAAATCAAATACAGAGGTTCTGGGAAGACTGGGAATGAAAAGAGAATTGCTGAAAGAAATAAAGAAGAGACAAGTGAAATAAATATACTGGCTACAGTATTAAAAACCATACTGGTTGAACAAGTTGAAGCCAAGCAGGCAAAGAGTAGACAGCTATACAAGTGGGAGGATAACATCATGAATAAAAGAGCAGCAGTCTCAGCACAGTGTGTTAAGAGATCCACTGCAAGCCAACCTTCAGTGTGGAGCTGGAATATGACTGAATCTCATAAAGCCGTTATGTGAGACTTGCCTCCCTTAATTTTTATTATCATCATCATCATACTTCTTCTTTCTTCTTCTTGTTCACCGGCTGTGAATTCCGGCGGTAAGTCACGGTTGTTCGTCCAAAATGGACTTTTGGCTTTTACCTTGACCTGAGTTTTGCGTGTACATCCGTTTTACTGGCTTATTTGTTTGCAGTACTCGTTCCCCGCCTCTCCGGCAGATGTACTCCGACTTCGGAGGAAATCATCATACTAAAACTGTCACCATACTGTCATCATACTAAAACTGTCACCATAATGTCATCATACTAAAACTGTCACCATACTGTCATCATACTAAAACTGTCACCAATACTAAAACGGTCACCATACTGTCATCATACTAAAACTGTTACCACACTGTCATCATACTAAAACTGTCACCATACTGTCATCATACTAAAACTGTCACCATACTGTCATCATACTAAAACCTGTCACCATACTGTCATCATTCTAAAACTGTAACCGTACTGTCTTCATACTAAAACTGTCACTATACTGTCATCATACTAAAACCGTCACTACCGCCTGTATGTACCACTTTTAAGGGCGTGGCAGACAGGGGGGTCATAAGCCTGTTGATTTAGGGCCGTGTGGCTAGTGCTGTCACCACGGACTGTAAAGGTTAGGATGTTTATTTATGGCCCCGACAGAAAAACTCCATCACATTATCGGAGGCTGAATCCAGGTCTTCCGCTTGAGAGTTCAATGTTGTCACTGGTCGGCCAGCAGCTCCCATAATGATTACAAAAAAAAAAAAATGAATCCATTCTGTTCTTTCAGCTGTCAAAACTCTAGGGCTAAACTGTGCAGTCAAATGAAAGTGCTCTGCTAATGTTTTCAATCAAACTACAGACCTGATGTGTTATGACCAATGAAAGAATATTCAAAAAGCAAATAGCTTTCAGACTGTGGTGTAGATCAACTGACATTTTAAAAGATTTGAACATCAAGGAAGATTGTCTAATAAACAGCATCTTGTTCCAGAAGCTGAGATATTTTGGTCATTTCAAACACCATGGCGGACTGGAAAAAATAATAGGAGAAGGAGGGACAAGAACAAGAAGATGGGCACAGGATATAAGTGACTCCTTGAATATGAAAAGTACATGAGGTGGGAGAGCTGGTGGCACTCTAAGTGAACGCAACATTGAATCTGTGTCACTTTTTTTAGGCTCGGCATGCTGTGTAAACACATGCTGGTGTAAACACAAGGCGTTAGTAAATCTGAACACACAGCTACTCGTCTGCTTCATTCCTTTTACTTTTGTTTCAATGTCTGTCCTAACCTTTACATCCTTTTTTTTTTTCAATGTTTGTCCTAAACTTCCCATTCTAATCTCACAACTATGTCTTTTCACCACATACATTCTTTCAGGCTAGAATCGTTCATAATCTTATTCTTTCCTCACATATTCTTGGACTGGCCGAGGAAATTTCTATTTGTGTTTCCTATTATATCACATCCTAATTATATACACCAGAGTCCCCTTCTTTAGCCAATCATTAAACATCCTGTATTTCAATTACCTATAGCTACAGCAGGCTTGTCTGTTAATCGTGACAGTACACTGAGAAAAAAAGCACAGGTCGTAATTCATGAAAAATCTAATAAATTACCAAGGTTGAGAAGAGACGTTGGTAATGAAAAATCTGCTGCCAAAGACAAAAACAGCATACAAATAATCATAACTTGTCTAAAAGCCTTAATTTATAAGAACATACCTTTCTGGCATTAGGTGGTGTTGGCTCAAAAATCTTTGCTTGCATCTCTGAAGGTAGGGTAGAATAAATAGGTGAAACAATGAGTTCTTTGATTTTGGACCCTAGCTTTCTAGTCCTTTCTAACAACATTTCATTGGCTGTTTCAATCTCCTCTTGACCAGTAAGGAAGACAAGAATGTCTCCAGTAGGTTGCGTTACGTGGATCTGTAACACGGATACAACAGCAGCATCCAAATAATCCGCTTCAGGAGCTTTGGTATAGTAAATATCCACAGGATATCTCCGACCTGGAATCCGAAAAATAGGAGCATCATCGAAGAATTCTGAAAACTTTTGTGCATCAAGTGTTGCACTAGAGATGAGCAGCTTCAGGTCTGGTCTGAATCGGGCAATGTCTTTAACTAGGCCAAATAAAATATCGGTATGGAGTGTCCTTTCGTGAGCCTCGTCAACAATAAGCACACTGTAACTGGCCAAATCTGGTTCACTCAGGAATTCTCGCAGTAACATACCATCTGTCATGTACTTTAGAATGGTCCTTTCTGAAGTGCAGTCTTCAAAACGAATGCTGTATCCGACTTCATTACCCAGCTTCCAGCCCATTTCCTGTGCAACGCGAGCTGCAACGGACATTGCAGCAACTCTTCGGGGTTGTGTACAGCCAACTTTTTTGTTGTTCATGGTGAATCCCTGAAAGAAAGAATGGAAAACTGAATTACTAAATGAGCTTTGAATTTCTCTCATGACTTTTATATCTGATAAATGTGGCAGGTCTATCACCTGCTGAACTGCATTTGTAAAATGGAGTTGAGCTTTCATGTCTTTAATTTTAGGGTTTACAAACACAGCAAGTTTAAGTGGTGTTAAAGTGTTGCCGCTACTACCCTTGCCCCCAAACAAATACTATTTACAAATTAAACAAAACAAAAAGAACCAGAGCTATCAAATAACACTTTCCTGTTGAAAAAAAAACATACATAGTTATCTGATAGTGAATTTTATTAGTTGATTGGAAAGCATAAACACCTTAAAAAAAAAACTAATGACGAGTAGATGTAAAGGAAATGTCAACTGATAAGTTGAACTCTAAGATATTCCTACATGCAGTGTGAAACAATTTCATTTACCACATTACAAAGATTATGAATGTCAAAATTATGTTCCTTTCAACAGCTATGCTTTTCTTTAACTTAAAGCACCGACATATAACTGCATTTCTGTCTTTATTTTTTTTTTTTCAACAATACATAATTTAAAGTAAGAAAGTTCTGGAGCAGCGGTAGCCCTGTAGCTAGCATCTTTCTGCCTGGTTGTTGTAGGTTCAAACCTTCATCAAAATATTTGTATTACACTTTCTTTTCATTCTTCTTCCTTACACTTTCTTTTCATTATTCTTCATTACACATTCTTTTTAATTATTCTTCATTCCATTTTCTTTTCATTATTCTTCATTACACTCTTTTCATTACACGTTCTTTTAATTATTCTTTATTACACTTTCTTTTCATTATTCTTCATTACATTTTCTTTTCATTATTCTTCATTACATTTTCTTTTCATTATTCTTTATTAGACTTTCTTTTCATCATTCTTCATTCTCTTCATCATTCTTCATTACACTTTCTTTTCATTATTCTTTATTACATTTTCTTTTCATTATTCTTCATTAGATTTTCTTTTTATTATTCTTTATTACACTTTCTTTTCATTATTCTTCATTACACTTTCTTTTCATCATTCTTCACTACACTTTCTTTTCATTATTCTTCATTACACTTTCTTTTCATTATTCTTCATTACACTTTTCTTTTCATTATTCTTTATTACACTTTCTTTTCATTATTCTTCATTAGATTTTCCTTTTATTATTCTTTATTACACTTTCTTTTCATCATTCTTCATAACACTTTCTTTCTATATTTTTTCCCCCAAATTTATTTTCAACCTCAGTCTCTTCAGGTAAACATGTAACAAACAGACTCACAGCTTCATGGAGGTACTGTGGTACTTGAGTAGTTTTGCCTGATCCAGTCTCCCCCTCGATGATCAGAATCTGGTGGTCTCGAACAGCTTGTATCAGATCTTGCTTGAACGGGTAGATAGGCAAGCTTTTCTTGGTCTCTTCAATAGACATTTTCTTTTCTTCTTTGACAGCCCTTGAGCTTTCCTTCTGGTAAAGTGAAAGGAGCAATAATGGTTGTATAAGATCCTATCCATCAACTAAAAATTATAATTAACACACACAAAAAGAGAGTCAGACAGACAGAGAGAGATTTTGCAAGCAAGAAGTTTTTGTCTACCTCATGTAAATTTAAAAGAAAACATGGCATTTAATGCAACTATGGAGCCAAAGTGGTGTAGTGGTCCAGGTTCGGTCACAACTATGGGATCAAATCCTCCTTTTGTGTCACTATAGGGTTCACAATTTAGTCGTCCATTCCAGTGTAATCTTGTCCACACCATGGATGTGATCTAGCCCAGCAGCTTTGGCCTCTCCCTGCGGTGTTTTTTCATGTGGGTTTATCTTAGATGTCCTCATTTCCTTAATCCATCTACTTCCCATTTCAGTGCCTCCTTGTGATTCTTCGTTGCTCCTCATGATGTACCCAACGTATTCACATTTTGCTATGGAAGGTGAGTACCAGATTCTTCTTTTTTTCCCCCCTTCATGTTCACCGACTGAAAAACTATGATGAAAAGTTCTGGCTGTCTTTTGGCTTCTGGAATTTAAGTCTTATTTCAGAAATGGAATTTTACATGCATTTCAATTTTCAGATCTGGCTTACTTGTATGCTGACTATTAGTCCCTTGTCTGTTAGAAAGATGCACTCTGAATTCGAAGGACAGATGCACTCTGAATTTGAAGGACAGATGCACTCTAAATTCGAAGGACAGATGCACTCTGAATTCGAAGGACAGATGCACTCTGAATTCGAAGGACAGATGCACTCTTAATTTGAAGGACAGATGCACTCTGAATTCGAAGGACAGATGCACTCTGGATTCAAATGACAGATGCACTCTTAATTTAAAGGACAGATGCACTCTTAATTCGAAGGACAGATGCACTCTGAATTCGAAGGACAGATGCACTCTTAATTTGAAGGACAGATGCACTCTGAATGCGAAGGACAGATGCACTCTGACTTGGAAGGACACCCCTAATTAGTAGACTTTTATGGCATGCTTGTTAGAAATGTAGTGAGTCTACTCTTTTCCACGCAACAATTCCACATGGGAATTGTAAAACTGTCCACAACCTCCAAGTCACATAAAGATAAGTTAAATGTATACAAGAACACATTATTACCTTATCTTTGATGGTTCCTGGCATTTTCAGGGTCTGAACAAACTCAATTTCCTCATCCATGATCACTTCATATTTCTTTGATTTCTTCTCCTTTGCATCTTTGGCACCAAATTTCAGCAGAGCAGCGTTCAAATGCTCTTCCTCCCACCTGCTTTGTTCCGAACCCTGCCCTTTCTCTAACCTGTCTTCCACATACTTCTCCTGAGGTTTCACATCATCCCGGGGTATGTAGTAGCGATCAACTTTCTCAACTTCGCCTGCTTCTTTGTGTTCCTTTGCCAGTTTCAAGACTCTTTTCTTGTATTCCAGGTCTTCACGTTCTCTCTTTGTTAATCTGAAAAAATAAAACAGAAAGTGGGTCACGTTAAATAATGAAAAAAAAATAATTAAGGAACAAAACATAACATTGAATCTTCTCTACATGAATCTATTCATTTGTGATCTTATTCAGACCTGCATGGCTTTTCCGCATTTTGCTACCATAATCAATTATTCTGAAACATTAAAACTAGCAATTCACAGCTTAATAAAATGAATATCTATCACCAACACCACACACACAGAGAGAGAGAGAGAGAGAGAGAGAGAGAGAGAGAGAGAGAGAGAGAGAGAGAGAGAGAGAGAGAGAGAGAGAGAGAGAGAGAGAGAGAGAGAGAGAGAGAGAGAGAGAGAGAGAGAGAGAGACTGAAACCCTGAAGATGGGGATATACAGAACAGGTTATGTTAAACTGAAACAAAAACAATAAAAGAATGAGGTCCTAAAGAAATTGAATGAAAAGGAGGTTCAAAAAATGGCAAGAAATTTAACAATAAAGAAATAAGAGAACAATTTTGGTCAATTTATAAGTCATAACACATTTATTAAAAAAAAAATCATACTGAAGAGAAAAGTTCAAGGTAGGTGAGCAAGAGGTAGACAGCAATACAAGTGGAAGGATAACATCAAAACAGGGCAAAACATGTGTTTTGGAATTTATTTCCTTTTAAGGAAAGAATATGACACAACATATTAAATGTAATCTACTTCATGTTACCCTTAAATAATAATCTGAACCAAATAATGTGTTTCTGAATATTGTGAATTTTAGCTGAAAAACTAGCTAAATGATGACGCTTAACATATATGGTGAAAATTTTGGCAAATTTGAAAGCACTGAGGATGGAACTATTAGGAAATGATCACAACAGCGATTTTGTCTTTACCCACACAACCACCTACCATAATTGCTTAGAACAGAATACACAAAGAAGACTATACATTCAGAAAACTTTTTCTGTCTCTTCTTCTCCAGTGGAAAGTCCTATTCCAGAAAACGAGTGTTGCGTGTGCACATTGTTTCACAGGTCTGACTGCATGCAGACTGTTGGTTCCTTGCCTCTCAGACAGAGGTACTCCGACTTCGAAGGAAGCTCCCAATGAGTCGACTTTTACGACAGTCTTTTGGGCAGGCAGTGGGTCTATTCTTGTTTTCCCCACAATGGGGTCCCGGAACCCATATGGGGACTGGACTTCTGTGTTTAAAAGGTGGTGTGGTGGCTAGCAAGCTGTGTTATGGTTGACAGCAAGGCTGTGATATCTGCACCATTTAAACTAACATATTTGATTTCAGAAAACCATTATTAGTCACCTTTATGGCATGCTTATAAACGGGTCAGTGGGTCAATTCCCCCGGTGTGGCCCCAAATGCTACTGCTACAAGTAACTGTCTGATTGTACACCTGTCTCGCCTTTCCCGTGGGTGTTGAGCGTCTGCCAGATCTCCAGACAGATAAATTTAGAAACTAGACAGAGCTATTTCACAACATAAATCTGTGTTCCTATGTTTTCTAGATCTCAAGACACCTTAATTAAAGTTTAAAAAAAAAACAATAAAACAAAACATTACAAGAGTCTTACTTTGCTCCTGAAAAGAAATATTCCTCCTCAGCAATATCAGCTTCCAAATCTTCCAGCTTGTCTTTCCCTCTCTTTTTAAGATAATCTCTTCTGGACTTTACCCTTAGTTCTGGAATTATTTTCTTGCGGTCTTCCTGCTCTAACTTCAATCTCTTTCTAGCTTCTTCAAAGGCCTGAAATGGATAATGCCAAGAAAAAAGACAAAAATGACTTAAGTGAACAAATATCATAGTAATCCCTTAACAGATAATGCCATTAGGATGTGATGTGTTAACCCTTTTGCCCTGGTGACCTAAAACAAAATATGCAAAAGACCTGTCTTTTTATTTTTATTTTCGGGTTTTCCCGAAAAAAGAAAAACTGCACATGCAAAATCCTAAGAATTCCATTTATGGACCAGAATATTATTTAATTACATACTAAATTATGGAAGAAAACAATGAGAATTATTTGGGTTATATCTCTCTGGGCGTTTATAAAATATTTTGCAGGACTGTTCTAGACACCATGACCCGGCTACAAGTTACCACTGTCAAAAAAACAGGACATTCTGATGTTCTACAAGGGTAAGGCAATTTGTAAGTCCAAATGGTTGTTTAAAAAACAAAAACACTAAAGATGGTGACAACTTGAAAACCATTTATTTCTACACACACTGTCCCTTTTTTTTTCAACATAATTACCACCAATGCTGATGTACTTGTCCCATCATTTTATCAGTCCTCCCAAACCTGCTGCATAGAACTGCATGCTCTGTTTTCTAAATCAGTGTCACTTCACATTCAACTCCTGTGCATTTGCGCAATGTCTCCCACCAAAGTAGGTTTTAAGTGGACCAAAAAGGTGGAAATTGCTAGGGCCTAAGTCGGGGCTGTAAAGTGGATGTTCCAGAAGCTCCTACCCTAGATGGTAAATTTTCTCCTGAGTTAACCGAGCCGTATGTGGTCTGGCAATATCATGAAGGAGCAGTACTACCTCTAGTCAGCAGTCTTGGATGTTTTCTTCAAACTGCATCATGAAGCATCAACAGCATTCACACTGTCAATCCTGTTCAGCATGTCTTCTCCTTCATCTGCATATCGACAGACATGCTGTAAGGACAGACCCAATCGGTACATTTTGTGTTCGTCCGTCAACTGTCTGGGTACCCACCTTGAGCACACTTTCGTAAATTTCAATCAATCATGTATTATGTCGTATGCTGAACCATGTGAGCACCCTATTGCAGCTGCTACAGAGTCAACCACTACTTGTCTGTCACCTCTAATCATCTCCTTCACCCACTGCATGGATGCATCTGTTGCAATCTTAACAGGATTCCCAGATCGGACTTCACCAATAATTTAGAGCGTCCTTAAAAAACTTTTTTTTGTGGCCAGCTATGCACTGCTTTATGGGATAAACATTTGTCAGCATAAACAGGATGCAATTTTAGCATTAAGGTCTTTTGCAGGCATTCCCTTTAAAAAAAAAAAAAAAACACACACACACAACAGCGGTTGTTCTTTGAGGGTACACTCCACAATTACAGATGCCATTTTGTTTCTGTGTTGCGAATACGCATGCAACACCTAGTACCACCTACCGAACGGGGACATAAAGTTCAATGCTGCTGTCACCTAATGACACCTTTAGAAACCACCAACTACATTTTACTGCTATACTATAACCACCTATGACTTAGTGATTGACTTTCCTCGTAATTTCTTTAAATAAAGCCATTTTCCACAAGTAAGCTCCACCCAAAGTCTATCTTTAGCAACTATAATACAAACCGATACCAACCGCTATAAAACTGCAGTAAATATTAATCTTAGAATTACAAACCAATAAAACCTTCAACTATGTGACCTGAGAAATGAAATATCGATAAAAACTGACTGTATATTTATGTCTGCTATAGGGACTGTTAAGATTTACTTAGCCACACTGAAACAAGACAATTGTTACTGTTTTGTCAAATTACATAGATCTGGAAAACACTGTGACAACAAACATGCTAAAGACAGAAGGAGAAAATGCTGAATGGATTGACAGAACGGCTTGCAAGATGCTTTGACTGAATTTCCTATAAATAGACTAGATGATTAAAACTTTGTCGTCCCCATGTGGGATGCAATTCTTAGTCTTGAAGCACACCCTGGTTTTGCCGGGGGCTCTAAATATAGCCGGGCCTTAAATATGGCCTAACAGCTGAACAGGGTTTCCAGGATCTATCCACGGGTAATCCCCATCCGCATGGTGGCAATTTGTGTCACTGGATGTTTATCGCTCTGTATGTTGTCCTGGTGGGGTCAAATTTACTTACTGTCTGACTGTGTTTCTCTGCATGACACATGATGATGAATCAATTAAAAAAATAAGTAAATGACCCTTTTCAAGACAACCGACACATCTGGCATAAAGTGCTAGACCCACATTTTGTAACGACAAATCAGGGCCTGTTGGGTTATGTGGTCACTTTCACACTGGCCACCTTTACTTTTCAGGGTTTTTCCTAGTACCCAATTTAAGCTACACCAACTGGGCAAACAGGTAATTTTTTAATTTAAAATGTGTCCTAGTTTGGATTTCAATCCATCCATTCTAGGGCTCTATTTTAGGGGAGAAAAAAAGAACAGACATGGTCTCCACCTAACAAGTATGCTGTAAAAGGTGACTAATTAGAGCCTTTCCTCTGAAGTGGAAGTGCATCTGCCTGAGAGGTGAGGAACCAACAGTCTGCATAAAAATATATCAAATCCGTTATCTATAAAATGGATGTGTATGCAAAAGTCAAGAACTTTCCACTAGAGTTTACAGATGACGAACATAAAAAAAAAAAAGAATAATTGGAATCAAAGCCATCTGGATCAGTGGTGAAGAAAAAAGGAACAGACATGGTCTCCACCTAACAAGTATGCTGTAAAAGGTGACTAATTAGAGCCTTTCCTCTGAAGTGGAAGTGCATCTGCCTGAGAGGTGAGGAACCAACAGTCTGCATAAAAATATATCAAATCCGTTATCTATAAAATGGATGTGTATGCAAAAGTCAAGAACTTTCCACTAGAGTTTACAGATGACGAACATAAAAAAAAAAAAGAATAATTGGAATCAAAGCCATCTGGATCAGTGGTGAAGAAAAAAGGAACAAGTATTTGAATCAAAGAAATCCTATCCAGCAAATAAGCCAACAACACATAAGGCTGTATGCCAATCAATGTACAGTGTAGGTTACAGTTACAGTTAGATTACAAAACTTCAATTTTATACCTAGGTAACTGACCTTCTTATCCGATTTTGACATAATATTTCTTGTTTTGTCTTTGTCTTTGTCCCTTAGCCGTTTAGCAAACTCATCTCTTTCTTTCAGATCTTGTTTTCTTTCATGATCAGGGTCTGAATCATCACTTGAATCAGATTCTTCTGATGATTGGTCAGCATCACTGGGAAAAAATCAAAATGAGACATTTAAATTAAGCTGTGATTAGAAGACACTTATCTTTTTAAACAACAGTAGAAAATCTCATTATCTTGTCAAGCAGTAAGCTGGGTTCTTCTTTGGGAGACCTAGGTTCGAATCTGTGGTGAGGTGATGGACATTTTTCTCTGGGGAAGGGGACAGTTAAAAAAAATGCAAGCCTGAACAGGATGTGGAAATCAAGAGGAATCTACCACTTTCTTAATCGAAGAAAGGTATCATCTAGTAAACAACATCTAGTTTTAGAAAATGAAATATCAAGTGCCATGGCAGATTGGAAAACACAGCAGCATAAGGCATGGTAACAGGGAAGCGAGGCAGGGGCTGACTAGCATAAAGAGGGGCACAGAGTATAAACGACACTTGCACGAGGCAGAAGCGCTGGTGAGAGACCGAGTTTCCTTCAGGCAGACTGTGATGAGAGCCACGTTCTGCAAAAGGAACTGCTTCATGATGATGATGATGAGCCTAACAGTTCGTGGTTAAGAAATTATTAGTATCGGTAGCTATATATCCTAAAACTCTAGACACCCCTGACTTAAATCGCATAAAAAAATCAGTCTTTCCTCTTGAGCTTAGGGTGGCGCATAGGGCAGAGGTCATAACTCTCCATGTCTGGCGGTTCGTTGCCACCTGTTTTAGGTTTTGGATGTTCATTATGCCCAAGGTTGAGCCTTCCCTGATGATAGTTCTTGACAGGGTCTCTCTAGGTCTTTTCCATTTTCTTGTCCCCTCCGCTGCCCATATGGGGCTTGATAGGAAAGTCTGGTCTTATCCATTCTGAGTGCATGGCTGATGTAGTTCTAGTGGCAGCTTATAAAACTGAATACATTGCCTTGCTTGGTTTCTTGTCTTATTTGTGTTTGAGATCTGACATCTGTCCAGTGCAGATTTAGTATTCTTCTGAGACGTCTGTTTTCAAAATTGTCTAATTTGTTTTAAAATCTAGAGCTACCGTTGCGTTCCAACTCTCTCATCCATGAGTTAGCAATGGAATCTAGAGCTACCGTTGCGTTCCAACTCTCTCATCCATGAGTTAGCAATGGAATCTAGAGCTACTGTTGCGTTCCAACTCTCTCATCCATGAGTTAGCAATGGAATCTAGAGCTACCGTTGCGTTCCAACTCTCTCATCCATGAGTTAGCAATGGAATTACACAAGATTTTAAGATCTTGTGTGTTTGCTGAGTGTCTTTGACTTCCAGATGTTTGACAATTTGTTAAAGGCACTAGATGCCAGTGCAATTCTATATGATATTTCTGGCCCCGAATCACCTATAGATGTAATCTTACTCCCTAGGTCTGTAAAGATGTTGACATTTTCAAGAAAAAGTAGCACGATAAAAAGTAACAAGAAGAGTTTTTGTTTTAAGAAAACAGCTACTGACATTTCCTTCACAATATAGCTGTTGCTGTCTGTCCTTCACAAAAGACAATAATCAGTGATTTCCTCAAGCTGTGGAAAATTTATGGGACAAGATGGCCAACAGGGCCAATCCTAGCGTGGAATTTTCTCAGGCAGTGTGTGCAGGGAATCTGAGCCGCAACAGTCAACTCAACTGAAAAAGGGCACTACAGTATAAATGTTTGGGGAGGTTATGGTAGTCAGCTTGATACTGACCACACCCCATTAATTGCTGTTCTGAGGTTACTTTTATGTAAGGTTCTTAGTTTCTACCTATGCCAAAACTAACAGCACAATAGAAAACTGCTAATACAACTGCTTGACCTGGGCAGCAGTGAAGGTATGTATGATGAAAATGCCCTAAACCAATTAATTTAAAAAAAATAAATGAAAAGGTCTTGAAAGAAACTGACTCACGGAGAAAACTGATCTGCCAAATCAAAATAAGACAATCTACATTCTTTGGTCATGTCATGAGAAGGAGAAAACTAGAAAACTGGAGGGAAAGTAGGAAAGTTGGAGAAGAAAAGAGGCAGAGGGAGAAAGAGAGAAGAGACTGGACAGTGTTACATCATGGCATGGAAGCTCATCAGTGCCATAAGTGATTGAAAGTACACAGGATAGAAAACTGGGGGCTGGATAAGACTAACAACGCTACACAGCATGGACTTTGATAAGATGATCATGTATGCCAGTTTTTATTTTCGAAAAAAATTATTACTCCAATTTAATGACAAGTTTATTAAAGATTCAAGTAGATTAACAACTTACAAATTTGTTTGGGGTGTTTTTACTTCTGAAAGTAATTATACCTCAAATCTAAAGATGAATTTACTAAAGAACCAAGTAGATCAACAACTTACAAATTTGTTTGGGGTGTTTTTACTTCTGAAAGTAATTATACCTCAAATCTAATGACAAATTTACTAAAGAATCAAGTAGATTAACAACATACAGATTTGTCTGGGGTATTTCTTCCTCACTACTTTCAGACGCTTTTCGCCTCTTTCGAAGATTTTTGCCCCGCGATGTAAACTTTGAGGCCTAAGTTGACAAATTAAAATCATTTCAATCAATGGGAACAAGAATAATCACAAGTACAGTTGAATTCACACAAATAAAATGTTGTCCAATTTTGTATTATATCTTATAGAATGTAACTTATACATGACAGTTATGTTATGTTATCACAATCGACGTGACTACACATTGGGCATTATCATGTGTGCTCAGTCCTCTGATGCAGCAACCACTCCAAGGTACTTCTACTACTAATTGTTCACATGAGAGGCTGATTATCATGTCTCCTATCTTGGCCTCAAAGGCGTACAGCGTTAATTATATCTGCTCTGCCCATGCTTCTTTCCCCATGCGTTGGTGCATTGCTTGCCAGTTGGTCTGCTTGCTCATTACCCTTTATGCCAACATGACCAGGTATGTAGATCCAGGTGGGGGAGGTTAAGTGCCATTATTGAATGCTTCCTACCCACACATGACAGGATGCATCTTTCTTCCTCCCTGAAAACATTATCACCGTCATCAAGTGCCTTACTGACTGGCATGAGCAGTCATGCCACCCCATAGCCTGCAACCTCCAGTAGCGTCATTCATCAGTTTGTGTGCTGACACCCCCCCCCCTCCACGACAAAAAACTATCAAGAATCTTTTCGCACTGTCTTTCTCTATCCATCTTTTCGTTTCAGCAGTGACAACATATTCTAGTTCTGCTCTTCTCATAGCATGGCCAAAAAATTATTAATGTCTCTTAATGGATGTGATAAGATGTGTTGTCCTCGCTGACAAAATATGTGACAGTAGTGGTTACATCATTAACCATATGCTACCAAGGCAAAGGCTTTGATTTCAGACTCTATACTTTCACTGAGAAAGACAAATGAGTCAGTGACCCTGGAGGGTTGTTGCTGGAGCTTTGGAATGTCCTGCTCCATGCAACCATCGCAGCGGAAAGTAACAGTTGCTCTGTGAAGAGAGACCAACCAATGTAGGCTAACATCTCAGTTCGATGAAGAAGATCTTCTTTCCTTTAAACAACACACAGAAATGTTAAGATTAAGTGAGCGGAAAATTGACAAAGTATAACAAAGGCTTCAGAGGGCACGTTTAAGATTAGGGGCAAGGAACTTTTTATATTTATTTTTTTGCCAAGAGCCATTTTGATATTAATAACATCATTCTTGGGTCGTACAAAATGTTTGACTTAAAAAAAATTGTTGGCATATTTGTTTTTTCTTCTTCACTTGCTCCTTTACTGCTTTAGGTTCAAGGCAGATATAAGATTGTTTTTTTTTTGCTCTTTTGGTTGCCTCGACCATAGACATATTGTACTGTTAAAGAGTTTCTCTGACATTATCTTTCCATTTTGATCTTGGTCTACCTTGTCCTCTTTGTCTTTCTCTTATTTTGGTGTCTGCCTTGCATGGTATGGCATCACAAGGCATACTCTCCAAGTCAGTGATCTGTAACCTATGGGCCGCAGCTCAAGTCCAGGTGTTCACTCCCAGAGGGCCCTCACAAAATTTAGCTCGTCATACATCAATTCACCACCAAGTGGTGCAGAACCAGCCACTCTATCTGTCTGCTTATTTCCCAACACACCGGCATCACCTGGAGAGAATATCCCAAGATCAGACAAAATGATTTTGTGGACCTTATACAGTGGCAGCGGTTGGGCAAATGATTTTAACACTGGTCTCCCATGTGAGAGACCTGGGTTCAACTCTTGCTGAGGAATGTAAATTTTTTTTAATGTTGGGGCAAAACAAAAATCCAGAGTTCAAGATGACTGCACTAGCCACGCAACCTTTCATCTTAAAGTTTATGGACTCTCTCTTGTCCCACACCACCAAGTCGTAAATAGGCAGTAAAGACGGTTTTTTATAATAAATCTTCACCCCCGCTCTGGATGGTGCTCCTGTAAGGAGGTTCTGTGTTAGGATAGTCATATCTCAAGACTGCCTTACTAACAGTAAAAGGTTTGTATTGAAATACAAGGTCACTTCAAAATTAGAACCAAGATCTGTTGGACTAACAGGTCGTAAGCTGAACTGGTCCTAAGCCAAATTTGTTAACATAATTTGAATTCAAAGGGGTTATAGTACATAAAATACACAAACATTCAACCTATGTACGAAGAATTCTTGTACATAACGTGAAATATACACAATATGTACTCTGTTTCATCAGTTCTGAGATCTTTTTTTTTAACCCTACCAATGTAGCTATCTTTCTTCATTTACTATTTTTTTAACTTATTTATTGTTTTGTGGTCGTTAGTGTGGACAGTTGTAAGTCAGATAAGCTGTAGGTCAAGAATAAGGTGTATAATCAAAGAATGTACACAAAAGTAAATCTACCTTAAATGTTTCAACTTCAGCATCATCAGAATCATCATCCGAGTCATCGTCTTCATCCAGCAGCTGATATGTTTTGTTCTTTTCCTCCAACTCTCGTGTCTTTCTTTGCTCTAGTGTCAAGGTCTTCTCTTTCTTCCCTTTGTGTGGAACCTGAACAACAAAATAATAAAGCAAACATCACAAGGTGGCAATGGATAGGACACACATTTAAAAAAAAAAAAAACATAAAAACAATATAACTAGAATGTCTTTGCACTGAAACCAATAGGGCATACACATAAAGGCAGAGACCCGCCTCCCCTTTAAAAAACTACAACCACACACACATGGAGAAAGGGAACTAGACAGTGATGTAAAAAAAAAAATAGGAAGGACATGAGGTGAGCTGCATTAAATAACAAAGGATGGGATGACTTGGTGACGGTTGAGATCCTATGCTCCAATGGGGGACAAAGGGCAGAAGAAGATATTTCATTGTTTATTGTCAGGTGCAAATGATGTCATTTGGAATAATTTATTGGCTTCATTTTATTCAACTGCTGCTAGCTTATGCATTGGATGTGATACAGCAAAACTATCATTGCCATGTGACATGCCAGTAAGCGTAGGCCATCACACACAATCCCCAGAATCCCGGATCAGTTCAATGTTTTTGTCTCACCCCATCCATTCGGCCAGGCCAACAAGGTATTTACCTCTTTGCCTTTCTCTTGCTCTCCTTCCATCAATCTTGCCAGTTGTCGCCAAGTTCTCAAGTCGATTCCTTCTCATTACATGTCCAGCAAATATTGACTGTCTATGTCTAATTGTTCTAATAAATTTATGATTTTTATCTGTCTCGTTGAGGTCTGCTTCATTTGTTTGTTTTTCTATCCTTCCATGACATTCTTTGCATTATTCTCAGAAACCACATTTATGCTGTGAGTAAATGTTTTTCAGCTTCTTTACTTACTGTCCATGTTTCACATGCATATAACACAGCATAGCACTTTAACACTCAATGCAATTGACATCTTCTTAAGTGAGCCTCTTTCGCATCTTACTTTTGCCATGGCAATTCTTGTTCTAATTTCTGCAAGGTATCTTACATTAGATGTTATGATTGTTCCTAAATAGTTGTATTTATTACCTTATTTAAGAGTTACTTAGGTAAGCAAAGACTTTCCAGCACAAAAGTTATCAAGCATTATTTGTTACACATATGTTATCAGTGCTGGGATAGTAAAAGCCCCTGTGTTACTGCTAGTGTATGGATTAAAAGTAAAATAGATGAAGGTATGTAGGGATCAATTTTCAGCATGCCTTTATTTTACTTTCTTTTCTTTTAATTTATTTCTGTTAAATTCACCATCCCTTCCCTGACCCCACTTTTCTCTCCATATTTGGTAATAGCTCTTCTGGGAAGTAATGGTAATTACAAAGAAAAAGTGACCTTCCGAAATGCAACATCCAAGTAAATGGGACAATCCTCAGGCTAGCTGATATGTTCAAGTACTTGAGAACACTGATGCAATTTTTCTTTGTCAACTGAGATGAGAACAAGAATTCTTAAAAGCTATATAATTCCTATCCTGATATACAGAAGCGAATCATGGACAGTTGGTAGATTAGTGAGAAATTATTTAGAAGCTGCGGAGATAAGGTTTTATAGATGAATTAACAGAATACCATGGACAGATAAAAAGAGTAATGAAGATGTCTCGGGGGAAAAAAAAACACGGATCCACGAAGAGAACTTGATTACCCACATCAAAAAGAGACAATCTACATTTCATGAGAAGAAAGCTGGAGTACATCATGAAAAACAAACGAACAAACTTTATTTTCAAAGAGTCACAAATTGAGCACAGGCCATCTTACATTCAGCCCTTCCAAATGCCCAACTCTCACAAAGCAGTTGTATTTTATCAATAAGCTTGTTATGTTCATATAATAACATGCATATTATGAATATCAAGAAAAAACACACAAAAATGGGTAGTAAAATGCATACACACACTCGCGCAAGTACACAAGCAAACATACTCACTCACTAACTTACATACACACATACTCACCCACAAACACACCCCAATATATCCATACATAAATTCACACATACACACTTTCACAAACAAACATACGTGCATGCATATACATAAACATACATCTATGCATATTATGAATATCAAGAAAAAACACAAAAGAATGGATAGTAAAATGCAAGTGCACACTCGCAGACACATACACCCACAAACACATGCAAACCTACTTACTCACTAATTATACACACACATACTCACCCTAATACTTACACATATAAATTCACACATACACACATTTATAAACACACACACTTACATACAGATACATTCAGGCATCCATGCATACGGATACACACAAGAATACACAGACACACGGACAGACTTACACACACATACATACAGAAAGTCACACACACACACACAAGAATACACAGACACACGGACAGACTTACACACACAGACATACAGAAAGTCACACACACACACACAGAAAAATGCACAGCCACACACGGACATACATATAGGCACACATGTATTCAGACACACATACAAACATTTACAAATACACACACACAGACATATACACACAGACAGGCACACACACAAACATGCACATACAAAAACTCATACATACATATGCACACATGCACTCTTGCACGTACATACACACATTCACACACAAAAACACATACATACATGTATACATACAGATACACGCAGGCACATACACATTCATGCTAGTGCATTTTATGTACTTTTGCATTTCTGGCCTCCATATGTTTGATTCTTGTTCAAAACTTGTATATTTTAAGTTTTTTTGTGTTAACTTTTCCCACAGATCTCCACACCACAGAGCAGAAGAGGTTCATAATAGAGAGTCGCTCCCATCACTTGAAACTCCCTCGCCAGCTCTCCACCCTCACATAATGTCCTGTCCGAGGTGTCTCTTACATTATTTGTTTATCTTTGTGCTGGTCGGCACCTGCCCCTTTTGTTCAGTATCACGAACTCCACTGTTGTTCTTTCAATCAACCCTGGTGTTAGAAGAGACGCAGTTAAGTAAATACTGGTCAATTACACATCAAAAGCACACTTCTAGTACTGCCACCTACCTTATGAAACAACTCCAAAGCAAATGCTGACACTTTATCATCAACGTCAACAGTGCCTGTATCTTTGAGTCGCTGTATAAACTCGCCAGGACTTTCAGACTTTGATGCCAGTCCCACAAAGTACTGGGAAATGTACTTATCAGATATACCCAGGATGTCATACAACTTGTCATTTACCCATAAGTCAACACCAGATGCCATCATCAAGCTGAAAAGGTAATGAAATAATAGGATAATTAAAAGGAATTATAAAAATCAGAAAACAAATAAAATATAGTAACAATTTATAAAAAATAAAGCAAATAAATTAATCCTTTTTCAACTAAAATACAAAATCAACCACTCTCAAAGTAACTGCCTATTTTACTAGAGCAAGCACAAGTTTATCAATCGTCTTTCTGTGGACACAAATCTGGAGGAAGTGATTAATTGTAGCTGCTTCAAGAAATATTAGAATTCTGCCATTGGTTGATATATGCAGTTGACAAGGATTCACTTATTTGCTAGATTTTTACTTAATCATTAGTGTAGTACACATCTTTACAAGAAACAGTTAAATATTACAGGACATAAATTGTGCAATCAATTGTTTGCATCTTCTTTGTTCAAATTTATTACTTTAAATAAATATAATAGTAAACACTTTGACCTGACCTGAGGTTAAAGTGAGATTCACTTACAGTATACACTTTCTTTCTCTGAAGCAAACTGATCATCACAGTCTGGTCAGAGTGCTGCAAGAGGAGTGGCAAGGGGATCTGGTCGATACTTGTCGCTCAGAGGATAGGTAAGAGAGACATATAATCAGAATGCTACTAGCACCATTGGTATTGGAACTCTGCATTGGCTGCTGAAGATAGGGACATTGCGCTTACGGAAATGCCCTGAGTGCTGTGAGGTCGGTTCTTGAATCAACAACTCTTTCTCATAGCACTCTTGACACACCCATAGGTGTTCAGATTCTCCCTTCAGCACATACACCAGCGTCCCACGATTAAATTAATAGTGTCAGTCCAATGCTAGTTTTACTCTCATGCTTGGCTGTGCCAATTTTCACTCCCACAGTTCTCACATTCTTAGTAGTGATGCAAACACTAGGGACTACAGTTTCGACAATTTGCGATCTTTTCGGCAATTTCCGTTACCTGGAAACCGTTCAGAACTTGTTCGGGAAATCTCGGCTGGTTTCCGGATGGGTCCAAATCTCATGAAAATTCGTGATTGGTGGGAATTTGGACCAGCTATAAATAGCTGGAAACAGCGTGGGGGAACCCGATTAACAGCGCATGTCTACGACAGCCGGACTCCTCTGTTTTTCTGTTAGTCATCAGTTTGATTGAAAATAGCGGTAAATTCGAGGTTGGCTTTAGGCCTTAAACATTACCAGTTGTGGTAATGCTAGTTACAGTTGAATTCTCCGTCCAATTTTACATTTGCATAAATAAATTTCTTTCCCGACTTTCGCTGTTTAGATTTACAGTGACATTTTTTAGGCAATCGCATGCGGCTGAGTCTCACTGCCTGCCATCTTGTCCAATGACAGTCCAATGTCAACAAAGCCGATACAGAACTGCGCAGTAGGTTGCGCAGTGAAAAACTTCTTGTTTCTGGGTCACAAGTTTTAGCGGCTGTTTCTTACATCTCATCTCCACAAAAACCTACATATCTCAGCTCAGAAATGACATACAAGCCTAAATGAGGTACCATTGGAAAGAGATTGTTTACAGCTATCTAAATGTGCTGGTTTTATTGGTGTAGAGGGCATTTTAAAAATTTGACTGAAGTACCTACAAACACTGGCTATCTGGAACTAAGACTTAGACAGAACCAGCCAATCTATCAGTTATTCAATTGCCAACAACATCCGCATTCCCAGGACAAAGATGAAGGTAACTGCACAGACAGTGGAGTTCCGAAATAATGACAATCCAAAGTCTTCATATGTCATATGGAGCCTGCCTTGACCCTGGGGTTGGTACTTATAGTAATACTATTACTACTATCACTAGCCAGTAATGATAGTAAGTAATGTACAGCACAGCAGCGTATGAAGTATGACTGTTTTTTGAAAATGTAATAGAAAAAAAAGGGTGGGGCAAAATCAAAAACACTTATGACTTTCTTAAGTTGCGTGATACAACTTTTTTATAGCGATATCGTCAAATATAGTATTATTACAGTATTTGGAAAAGTCCAGTCCCTCGTACTAACCACAACTTTGTAGCGAAAACGTTAGTTGTTTTTCTCTCAATATTACAACCATACACTATCACAAAACTTATTTCCTCTTTTCGATTACTTTTGTCACACTTTCAGAGGAATTACAACAAAATTTTCAAAAGAAAAATATTGATAGAATTGTAAATTTATCATGACTACATGATACAACTAGTTCATATTTACGAACAAGTTACAACATAATGATAAAATAATTAATATTCTTGAAGAACTAAACACAAAACAATTGTAAGACCTGGTGTGTCAAAGGTCAAGGTTGTAATGGCTGCCGTCTGTGTGTGCACAAAGTACGAATGGTTTCGGGAAAAAGGAAGTGTGGCTGTCGGTTTTACACTGGGGGATTTCTACAAGTTTGTTTAACGGGAGTCAGTAGACTGTTTTTCTATACAGAATGTACTAGAATATACGGAAAGTCTGTATTGTAAAATATAATTATTTAAGGATTTCACCACTGGCAATAAAAAATGTAAGCAAACATACAGTATACAGAAACAATGAATAGATAGCTATTTTAATATTTACTAATTAATACTATTTTATTTTGAAGCAATTTTTGTGTTATAATTATGTCGCCTGTCGATAGTAGGTTAAACAAAAGTAAGGGGCACTTTTCCACGCTATCAGGCTAATTGGGTAGATCTATATTTTGTAGACCAAACGGTTCTTGTTGGGTGATGGGGTCTCAGCATGACGCCGGCACCTTTACTTCCCAGGACTATCTGGAAGGAAAAATGAATGAAACATGAATAAGTCCTAACACTTGTGTCTTGGGAAACAAGGCCCATTTAGACAGTATCTGGAACATGGTTCTGCTTCTTTTCTTGCTTCCTGCTATGTTGTGGTTGCAAAAACATGATGTAAAATTACAGAAAACAAAACTTTCACGAAAGCTATCATTGAACAACCCACATGTGCGAGAAGAATGCCAGAAAGTTCTCTGTTAACCACATGCTGAAAGGCATTTTAACAATACACACACCCATTTGTACATCATTGTCTTCCACATAAAGTTTTCTTCTCTAACATTTTAGATTCAGCACTCCCTATTTGGGTTTTAAAGTGTCTGGTAGTCTTAGTTTCAGCTTCATAGCAAACGAGTCACCCTTTCTTTGCTCCGCTCCTGTGCCAATGAAAAACACACAGAATATTTATCACAGTCCCTTGTAGAAAGATTGATAGACTGCTGTCTCAGCATATCTAGCATACACTCGCTTTAAAGCATACAATAGCCACCCGAAGTGCTAATGCAAACAGTCTGACATTAGAAATGCAGTTGATTACTGATGGAAGCAGAAGTAACGAACAGATAAACAGTTGCCCACGCGATCAATTTTAATCACATACGGGCACCACCAACATTGCACGACAGGCATCGCGCCATTTTCTGAATCTACAATTCACACCACCACGTTGGTCACAGTCGAAAAAACATTCTAAATGAAATCCACAGCTCAAAAGCTGGGTGACGAAACTTTATCCAGTCTACAAATGCATCGGCCACCGTCCGGCAGAAGCACAAAATTTGCCTCAGCTTCGAACAGTGCCCCTGCCTAGCTTCCATTTTGACCTGAAGAAAAAGCCCTATTCTGGGGGAGGGAAACAATAGCCAACAGTCGGCATACCAAAAAACCAGATCTCTATAATGGATATAAACACAAATTTGATGTTCTGGAATAAAACCAAAGTCCAAACGTGGACAACCAACCATACATTTCTGCCGTAGTTTATAGCCAGTAAATATTAAGGAAGGAAGATTCAACACAAAAACACTGTACTTAAACATGTGAACTATTGATATGTATGTATACTTGTCTTATTCTTCTTCACCTTCACTAGCTGTGAAGTCTGGTGGAAGGTTCTGGCTTTTCGTTTTAGTCTTGTTCACGTACTTGAGTTTTGCATGCACATCTGTTTTACAGATCTGGCTTATTTGTGTGCATATTGTTGGCTACCTGCCTCTCAGGCAGAGGCACTCTTGACTTTTAAGGAAACCCCTATACTCTTACGACATGCTTGTTGGGGAGGCAGTGAGACTATTCTTGTGTTCCAGAAAATGGAACTCCAGGACCCACACAGGGCTTGTATTACTGGGAGAGTTCAGTAACTTGAACATTTGTCTAGGCTGAGCAGACTTTCACACAGATACCTACCATGAAGTGCCACCTTCTCATGGGAAATCAGTGCATGTACTTGCCGGTAGCTGTTGGCAGAATGTTAACATGTGTTTCTGGGAACCTTGTCAGTGGCAGTAAGGAAATTATTTGAAATAGTGAATGAGAAACAAACATTTGGAATATCTGATTATATAATTTTGTTGATACACTGTAGGAAATTGCAGGTTGTGGAGAGGTGTGATCAACCCACGCGATGCAGGACACTTGATGATGATTTTGTTTTTTGAACTTAAACATATACATTTCAATTTTCTTTAATCTGTTTCAGACATTTGAAAATGGAAAGTGACAAATTCTGTGATATACTAACACTGACATTGAAAGAAATTTTCGATTCACGTGTAGTGAAATAGATCAGTAGTTGTGTTCATGTAACAGGTTTTAAGCTGGGTGTAAGAAATAGCTTTGACGTAGATTAAAGATAAAGTTCACTCAACAATGTTCAAGAGCTTGACAGGACTAAGGGGTATGGTTCCAGAAGTGTCTAGAATCACTCATCTGTCGCGGCCGGTCAAACTCACAGCGCTGAGTTTATCACTTGGTATTGCTCTGATTGGAGCCCTAGCCATGTTTTTCCGGCGGCGGCGCAAGCGGACTCAAATGATTCAGAAGAAGTTAGAGGCTAAGAACCAAAGACAACAACAGAGTCAGAATCATCACCAGTATCATAGTCACCCTCATATTCCACGGCCACAAGGTATTCTTTTTGGATCTGGAAATAGGTCTGCTACCACTTCTTTGCGGAAGCTACGAAGTTCACATTTAACAAGAACACAGGCTCCAAATGGAGGTAGTTATACTTTCTTTTGTTTATATTAACTTTCTCTATCTTAACTTATTATTTTTTATTCAATCTAAAGGGTTTTTAACTCGTTTAGTACCAAGAAACACATCATGCGTTGATTATGTCTGATTTAATTGTCCTCTTGTATCAGAAGAGTTAAAGGAGGAAAGATCAACTTCATTGCACCAGGTTTGACCCAAGATGACTTGGTATCTCTTCGTGAGGGGCTTTTTGCTGGCGAGAATGTTGCACAAAGTTTAAACACTGTAGATGCTGCAGCAACACCCAGGAAACTAAAACAGCTGCAAGCATAGACTGAAATAGTCAATAATTGAACCCACAACCTAAAGAGCTTGAAGATGAACAACTTAACCACTTCACAGTGGAGACACCTTCTGTTAGATTGCATTTTGAAATGTTTATGTAATTATTTATGTTGTTTCCATTTGTAGTTTAATAATTTATTAAAGAAGTCACACCAGTGGAGTTGCTAGCTTTCTTGTCTGCTGGCTAGGTGGTCATGGGTTCAGATCTTATTTAAAACAGTTTGTAAACTTTGACCTGAGTTTCCAGGCTAGACCAGCCTAAAGTGAGTATCAGGAGATCAATATTAGAAAAATAACAGTTGGAAGCAAATGAATACAATACGTCAGCAATGCATTTTTAAAAGAAACAGTTGGGTGTTTAGTCTTATTTTTCCCCTGTGATCACCGGCTATAACTCCAGATCAGGTTATCATCCACTTCTTGACTTTTGTTGTGTTTCAGAACTTGAGTTTTGCATGTACATCTTTTTTACAGATCAGGTTTACATGTACATAGACTGTTAGTTCCTTGCCTTTCAGACAAATGCCTCAAAGGAGGCATTCCTAACTAGTGGAATGCTTGTTAGGAGGCAGCCGGGCTGTTCCTTTCCCCACCACACCCCATGGGGCCCCAGAACCCGTACAGGGAGTTAAGGCTCATAATAACATTACCACATTACTTAAGACAGGGTTGGGATGCAGAGGTGTTGAATGACATGTGGTAGTGGAATAGGGCTTCTGCTGGTAAAGACCTGTCTACACGTCTCCACCGTCATCCTAACATCCCAGCTGGGAGCCCGGCCCAAATCGGACTGATGTTTCCTTTCAAGTCAGAGAGGCAAGGAACCAATGGTTTCAATACAAATAAGCCAAATCTCTAAGATGGATGGGAATGGAAAACTCAAGTCCTGGAACAAAACTATAGTACGGACATAGCCAGACAAACCTGACTTTCTGCTGGAGTTTACAGCCAGTGAATTTTAAGAAGAAAAGAATAAGAAACAATGTTTAATTTATGTCTCATGAACAAAGCAGGAGACAGGACTCACAAGGGATAAGTTAATGATGACACAAAAGTATTGAACACCACTTTGTGTACAGCTCACACGGACTGTTTTGGAAGCTCTTATCTAACTTCATGCTTAAAGGCATAACATTTATTGTTTTCTTTTTACACTTAACAATTACTGCATGTTGGTTTTTACATTAGCTTGTATTATCCTTAGAGGATTTCACCCCTGCACCCAGCAAGTTAATTGCGGTGAACCCTGATTGACAAGTTAGTTTTTTCTTTTTTTCTTTTCACGCCAGCATGTCCTGGTGGTAGATGGGCTATGTCCCTGGTGCGGTAACCTGAGAAGCGAGGTGAATATCCAAGATTGTTTCTTGTCCTGATTGACATCATTGAGGTGGGACGTCAGTCCAAGATTGTTTCTTGAACCCATTGTTTCATATTCTCCAAGTTTTTCATGAGGTGGGACATCTTTTTCACGCCAGATTGTTTCTTGAGGTGGGACATCCAAGATTGTTTCTTGAGGTGGGACATCCAAGATTGTTTCTTGAGGTGGGACATCCAAGATTGTTTCTTGAGGTGGGACATCCAAGATTGTTTCTTGAGGTGGGATATCTGAATCCTGTCAGTCATTCTGGTTGGAGTTTGCTAGTTTGGATCTTTTTAAACATGCTAATTGAGTCACTATCAGTGCCTGAGTTGCATCCTGTTCTGCCAGCCATACTAGTGTCCTTTGACAGCTGCTACCCCATCATCATCATGTCATACTAGAAGTTGCTGAACCGAATGGGTGACCCTTTCTTTTCACTATCTTCTATTCATCTGTGATGTATATGTCCACCCGTAGTGCACCTCACAAATCACAGACTAACCCATGCCCATTCATCCTTTCCTTTGCTATTGCATGCAGCTATCTGATGTCCTTTTTTTTTACCTTCTCTTTAGTTCCCTTCTACATATTTTGTTGGTGGTCCTGCCTTTATTTCTGTGTGTCCTATCCACTGCCAGCCTCTTGATTCACTGGAATTTGTTCAGTTCTCTCCCAGTTTCTCTACATTAGTGATTCTATCATACCATTTAATTAAAAAAAGAAACATTATTTTAGACACAGAATTCTTTTGAAAACCATACAGGCAAAGGGTTGAGTTCAAAGGCAAAACAACAAGAGGTAGACAATGATACAGCTGAGATCTATTGTAGCCAACCTTGATATGACTTCCCAATTCTCTACATTAGTGATTCTGTCATACCTTTTAATTCCCATTATTCTCCACAGGTACCAGTTAATGAATGTTTGCAATTTGTAAGTAATTGTTTTTGTTGCTGTTGTGTGCTATCTGAGTTATACACTAATCAACAAACTTCAGAGTGTCCAGAAAGTATAGCTTTCGCTCCCTCTCACTCGAAGCAGGACTCAACGACAGTAGCTCCCTCATACATTTGATTAAACAGGTTACAGGACACAACTGCAGAGACGTAGACATTGATCCTAATTGACATTTGAACATAGTCCATTTAGTCCTCACTTGCTCTCTTTCAACTTGTAGCGACCTTTCCCTGACCACTACAGCTCTAAAGGTCTACAGCGTCCCACAACTCTTGGCTTGTCGCTAAGCTGAACAGGACGAATTCTCCTATCCACTAGACCCTGATATTATTTCAGCAGACAACCACGGCTGACTGGAGACGGACTTCACTTGCCGTTCTCCAAACCACACAGCACATCAGCCTGTCGAAGGACTCCGATGACCGACAGGACGTCTAACAGAGTCCCCTCTAGCACATAGCTCTCGTCGGCATTCCTACTGTTCTGTTTCCGTAGTGACCCTACGTCTCCTTGCGCCGTCACCCAGAACAGTTACCATTGGAGCATCTATTCCCCTTGGACTTACTTCGCCAGCGGGACTATACCTTCAACCTGTACCGCAACCACAACCCTTACTCAGACCTTGGTGCCTGATAGTTGTACGGTACTCTGTCTGTCCTTCTCGAGAGGGATAATGACTGACCTGCCTTGGTCTCTCTCTGTGTCTTGCTCTGACTCTCGACTCTCAGCAATCTCGTGCTGGGTGTATACTACACCCGCACTTCCCCAGTGCTTTAGCTCTCTGGCTACAAATCACTGCCGGACTGTCTACGCAGCCCAATTTATCTCTGCCGAATTCGTGTGGGCGGCTGATGTTAACACAAGAGGCACGCTCGGGAATTATGCTCGTGTGGGCGTTCTCGAGACTCACGCTCTTGTGGGCGTTCTCGAGAATCTCGCTTATGTGGGTGGCTGATGTTACATGAGAATCATGCTGTCACATAATTCACCCTTTCTCTGTGGGTCTCGTTATCCATGCTTGTCAGCCCCCACACAGTAACCCCACATCTACTTCCACATGCGTGCATGCCTTGTTCGTGATAATACATTTTCACTGGTCAACATTCTCTTCCCCCTCACTACAAGAGTCAGTGTTGACAATATTTCCCTTGAACTCCCGGAAAGTACTATCATACCACTCTGTCCCTTCACACAATATTACACTCTCCCAAATCAGCATGCAACAGTTGCCCATGTGTCAGCTCCAATCAACAGCACTGATTTGACACTAGATATAAATATCACACACAACTACTGCACGTGAATGTGTATGTTAACTTGTGTTACCCTTTGCAGATGTGACCCCTACAAATAAAAAGACCATCTCCAGCAGTGTTGACAGCAGCAACTTTGGCAGTGGGGATGTGGGAGATCTCTTGCGACATAGGGCACTGTCTGCATCCATGAACAGTTTAGGGGGTCTTTCCCACACCTCAAACTCTTCCACCATCACACACTCTGGCATAGACACGGTCAATATGTCCAGTGCTGATTTATGCCAGCTGGGTAAGTCTGTAGTTTGTTAATGTGATACTTCAGCTTTAGTTGTCCACACATGAAGAAAACAAAATATTTTTAAATGTTTGAACAATAATAATCAAAGCAGTGGTTTTCCGTTGTGAATTTTAACAAAGAAGACACTCAACAGATTGCACAGTTTACTGTAAGCCTCTAGAATATATCGTTAAATGGCCCCACACTCAATTCGGTAGAGATCCTGCAAGTGTGTCAACATCAGCTAAGAGGAAAATAACTCATTTCTTTGATAGGATGTCATTTGCTTGACTCAAAGCACATAATTGATAAGGACTGTGCCTTCCATGTTTTTTAACACGCACTGAATAGGCAGTTGCTATATTTGACTGAAGCTTTGACAGTAAAATTGAGTAATCCTACATTGTGCAGACAAAACGAGCATGTGGTGAATGTTGAACTTCTGCGATAATCATGTGGCTGTCCTGATCTTCCACTTGGGAGATGTACAGTGTAACTGGAGCTGGAGAAGACAATGTGATTTGGGTATTTTAGTGGAAAAGATTCTTTTTTTTGGTCTTTTTAAAAAAAAAAAATATGTTGATCTTACTTTAGTGAGGCACTTGATGAGATGAAGAGAGTGGCTAGTTAGAACCCAGGCACTTATGCTGCACTACTGCTTACGCAACAGTGGTTACAGTTAGAATCCAGGCACTTATGCTACACTACTGCTTACGCAACAGTGGTTACAGTTAGAACCCAGGCACTTATGCTACACTACTGCTTACACAACAGTGGTTACAGTTAGAATCCAGGCACTTATGCTGTATTACTGCTTACGCAACAGTGGTTACAGTTAGAACCCAGGCACTTATGCTGTATTACTGCTTACGCAACAGTGTGGCTAATTGGAACCCAGGCACTTATGCTGTATTACTGCTTACGCAACAGAGTGCCTAATTGGAACCCAGGCACTTATGCTACATTACTGCTTATGCAACAGTGGTTACAGTTAGAATCCAGGCACTTATGCTACATTACTGCTTACGCAACAGTGGTTACAGTTAGAACCCAGGCACTTATGCTACACTACTGCTTACACAACAGTGGTTACAGTTAGAATCCAGGCACTTATGCTGTATTACTGCTTACGCAACAGTGGTTACAGTTAGAACCCAGGCACTTATGCTACACTACTGCTTACACAACAGTGGTTACAGTTAGAATCCAGGCACTTATGCTGCATTACTGCTTACGCAACAGTGGTTACAGTTAGAATCCAGGCACTTATGCTGTATTACTGCTTACGCAACAGTGGTTACAGTTAGAATCCAGGCACTTATGCTGCACTACTGCTTACGCAACAGAGTGGCTAATTGGAACCCAGGCACTTATGCTACACTACTGCTTACGCAACAGTGGTTACAGTTAGAATCCAGGCACTTATGCTACACTACTGCTTACGCAACAGTGGTTACAGTTAGAATCCAGGCACTTATGCTATATTACTGCTTGCGCAGCAGAATGGCTAGTTAGAACCAATGCACTTTTGCTGCACTCCTGCTTATGCAACATTGAGCAGTGTTCAGTAGCACCTGTTTCTGTAATTTTATTCTGAAGGGCCACTAATGTAGCTTGTTTTCTACACTATATCCTAGTGTTGTGTAACTACATCTTTTAGAGAGAACATCAATACTATACATCACTATAGGGGGGGCTGTTTATGACCAGACTTTTGTTTAAAAACTTTCATGAATTACATCTTTTGAAATGAGTGTACGTTTGTTTTCATGGACCGTGTTTCATTGTTGAATGTTGACGTAAAAATAAAAAAGATAGCACTTTGGACACTCTCATAAGCGCTCTGTCCCCATCTCCAGCAGCAAGCGAAGAATTCAGTTCTGATGGTACCAGTGACTATCTGCTTGTATATCCGTCTCACCTTTTGGTTGAGTGTTGGCCAGATCCCCAGGTTACTCCCAGCAGCACCATTCTACTCAGACTGTCATGATCTGTTTGTGCCTCTGCGCTGTTTTTTGTTGTTGCTCCCAAAGTTATCATTTTATACTTATTACTGTGTTTCATGGCGGCGTCCGTGGCTAAGTCGTTGCGAGTCTGACTCGTAATCCAACGTACCGCGATCGAAACCTGCGTGGGCTGCATGGATTTTTATCGTGGTAAGGGATGTCGCAGGTCGCCCCAGCCTCAAATGGGTACCAGGATGGGCTGTCCTGGGAAAGTAAAGACGGCTGGCGTAATGCTGACCACATTACCCACCGAGTGCGATTGGTCTAAAAAAATATGGGTGCTCTTCCCATATGCCCGATGCGCCTAAGGGCGTGTGAAGGGATCTTTACTTTTACTTTTACTGTGTTTCATAGAAAAAGGAAATCAGGAAGGGAGTAGGGGTGAAGGACACAATTACTGCAGACGGGTTAAGAGCTAAGTTTCAGACGAAGCATGCTAAATACATGTGATCGCCACAATGATCCTGAAATCTCATGCTGTAAATTGTAGAAACATTTTCTTAAGGCAGATGGGTCTTGCTAGTCACACTGTTCATCACCATAGGCTGTGAATCCTATGCCTCCTATGACACAGTAGAGCACAGTCATCTGAAACGGATGAAAGGGTGCTAACAGCATTCGTTTTCACTGACTGTGTACACAGCATCTTCAGCTGTAGTTCATGTTGCTAAAGGATGTTGCTAAAGGTGTGGAGCAGAGCTAGACTTGATTCCTTTGTGGCAGCATGGCATTACATTGATGATTTTTGGAGGTGAAGATTTTTCTGTAAATGCTTGCACATGCAGATGAAATCTACCAGAAACTAATAACAGAACTGTTTTACTTTCCAGGTATGGAGAACCTGGCATTGGCGATATCATACTGGGAGGATGCTGTTATGAAACTCTCCTATCTTGATGACCAACAAGGGGTCTTAGCCATCCCTGTAAGTACATAAACAGGTCACATTTTACAGGATCAACAAGGTGTTGGCAGTCTACAGCACACTTGCCTTGTGTGGCACCAAGAACAGTTTTCTATAGTGCGCTGAAATAATCCAGTGCTGCGTATTATCATATTTGTAAAAAAAGTCAAGAATATACAATTTATGTAGCCCAGCAGATAAAGATCTTTCACTTTCAAGAATGGAAATAAATGACACAAACTTCATGACAGCCGCTCAGAGAGTTGAGGATACCCAGATACTGATACCAGAGGAGATGAAGTGGAGGACTGGGAAATAGGCTCTAAACTAAATTTAATTGACAAACCCAGCATCTACTCTAGATGATGGTGTAATACTTCCACTCCTGATTTAGCCTCCTGCAAAGGAAAAGACCTGGTAGAATCAAATGCCTGTTGATCAATCACCTTACTTAGTTGTGTAGGGAAATTGATGGAACATGTGATAAATAACAGGTTAATGGGGCATCTGGGGGATATACACCTTGTAACTCCATAACAGGCAGGATTTAGAAAGTACAGGTCCACTGAAGACCAAATAACATAAATAGCCCAGGAAATTGAGGATGCCTTCCAAGACACAAAATACACACTAGCAGTCTGGGTAGGCTTAAAAAAAGTATTTGATAAAGTACAAAAGGAGGGACTAAAAGTAAAACTACCAAAAATGTACTGGGAAAATGTACGAATGGATCAGTCACTATCTTGAGAGTAGAATTGCAAGGACAAAAGTACAAGGACAAACTAGCGAAAACAAAAAATGGCACTAGAGCAATATGTATCCCAAGGGGGTGTACATTGTGTATTGTCACCAACATTATTCTTATATAAATGACATTTCAAATAATTTTCCAGCCAGAGTTCACACCTTCTCCTTTGCAGAGGACTTAACTATATGGAATAGTGAAGAAAATATTAGTGTGGCCAACAGTGTGATGCAGCAAATGTTATCAGTGTTAGAAGAATGGTCAAAAAATATGACTAGTGAATGCCAGTGAAAAGAAAACACCGTGCACTGTGTTCTCCCTCTCAAACAAAAAAAAAACAGCCAGTTAAACTAGTGCTGGAAAAACACTGCATCAAGAGAATAATCCAAAATACTTATGTGTTACATTTGATTGCCGCCTGACATAGAAGACACAGGTTGAGACAAGTTAAACATGAGCAAAGCAAAGAATGGCAATCATGAAAAAGCTTGCTGGTACAACATGGAGATATGAAGGGAAAGTTTTCAAGAAACTATACATCTAACAAATAGCTAGTCTTTTGTGGCATCTTTCATAACTGCTGTATGATAGCTAGTCTTTTTATCTTATTGTCTTTTGTAATTACTGTATGTTAGCTAGTGTTTTGTCTCATTATCTTTGGTAATTGCTGTCTGATAGCTTGTCATTTGTCTTATTATTTGTCATAATTGCTGTATGATAGCTAGTTTTTTGCTTCATTATCTTTCATAATTTTCTATGTGACAGTCAGACTTTTAACATTTTTTTTAGCTTTCGTGATAACTGTATGATAGTCATCTACTTCATTAGCTTTCATGATTACTAACAGGTCTCTTTTTCTAATTGAAATATGTAACATCCATTGAAAAAATTTCAGGATTCCGACACAGCAGATTTACAACATAAACTGGAGAACCTATTAGATCTGGCCTACCGTATGCAGGACAACTATGAACGAATGTGTGAACGTCAGGTTGAACATATAGCTTTAGAATCAGCTCTTGCCGTCTTTGCAGACATGGACAAGGACAGGAGCTTTGATGAAGATTCTAGTGATCAAGAATCATTTGTTTCTGCCACAGACGTAAGTTCTCGAGTATTATTGGTGTTTCATTTTTTTCTCCTATAGTAATATGTTAGAAACAAAAAATAAAAATAAATACTTATATCCTACAAGAAATGAACATCAAGAAAGAGTGGATGGCAAACTTGTCTTGGAAATTGAAATATTTTGTCTGTATAAACACCACAGCAAATTGGTTAAAAAAAAATTTTGCAGACAGCGGGGTACCGGGAGGGGAGGCAGGGACCAGGAGAAAAAGAGGCAGGGAAAGTCACACCTGGGAGAGACAAGTGCACACCTACAGAAGCCAAGTTTCTTTCAGGCAGCACCTTCTGGGACCTGCTACATACATGATGATAACAAGTGCCTCAAGGTCGTAAGGAAAGCTGGCGAGAAGCCAAGTTTCTTTCAGGCAGACCGTGATGAGAGTGATCTGTTCTGATGCAAAGGTTCTGGAGCAGGCTACAGTCCATGATGACGAACAACCAGTTTAGCCAGAGGGGGGTGAACTGAAAGGAAGATGATGATAACAGTAGCCTGAGGGGGGCTGAATGGTCTCCGGGCGTTGCGTCTGCCTTGAGTGCTGAAGGTCCCGGATACAGGCCCCGCTGAAGGCTGGGATGTTTTCACGTGGACTTTCAGTAATTTCCCCTGGTCTCTGGGTAGAAAAAAACACTTGGCAGTTGGAAATCAAAAAACCGTAGCCTAACAGCGCTGCCCGGGCAAAATTTGGAGTTAAAAATCTACCCAAAAGTATTTTAGGATCCTCACCAGTTCTACAGAGTTTGTGCCCTGCGCTGAGATTCTTCAGATTCAGGTTTGAGTTAGAAGTGGAAGGGAGCACTTAAGGGCTGTTACCCTTGTGCCTTGATGTTGATTCGTTGTATAAACCAAACCAACCTATAGTAGTTTTGTCAAATGCAGTTTAAAATAACACACACACAAAAACAGTGAATAATTAGATGACAAAATAATGGAGCCATTGAATGTAGTAGATTGTACAAGCTCTGAAAGTAATTAATGAATACTGATTTAGTAACAGATTATACAAGCATCAAAATTTATTTTATTGTTCACAATAGAAATGTCTTATATTAAAATTTTAACTGATAAAACTTGAATGCATACAGATTGAAGCCATGCGGGTAATTCTGGGATGTACAAAAGAGATACCCTGGTAGTGTGTATGCCAAATAAACTTGTCCTGCCTACTTATGCAGATTGGCTCAAAGTTCTGCAAGCAATGTCATATCTCAGAGTAGCTGCAGACAAAAAGCACCTCCTGCATGAAACCCTGGGTAGAGCTAAGGGTCAGAGACTGAAAAGAGGAAAGTCTTGGATGGCGTAAGCTGAAGACACAGTCAGCTCTGTGTGCAGGCTTGATAATTTTGAGTGAGGATAGGAGTGGGTCATGGTGTCCGAACACATTTCAGACTTGTGTAGAGTTCTAATCACACTAGGTCGTGAATATCGCCTAGTGCAGCAAAGCTTGCATATGATATCACATCGTCTAGTTTGAGAATGGAGGTGGAGGCAGTCATTGCTGCCTTCCGCTGGCTTGAGAATCAGCTGTACACACAAGTCGTAATTGTAACTGACCTACAGAGCATGATGAGAAAGGTTAAAACAGGTATGCTTTGCGCAGAGTGGCAAGCATCACTTCAGAGGTCCCGGGTAGTTAGCATCCTTTGGATATTTTCTCCAGGTTATGCCGGTGTTTTGGTAAATGAGCAGCCAGATAGACTGGCTGGCTCTGCACCACTAGGTGGTGAATTGATTTATGACAAGTTAGATATTTTGGGGACCTTTTAGGAGCGAGTGAACAGTGCAGAGGCGCAGATAGATTATTACGGTCTAAGGAGAATGGCGCTGCGAGAAGTTACCAGAGGATCTGGCTGATACTCAATACTCAGGTGAAGGATGAGACAGATATACATTCAGACGGTTAATGGTACCATCGGAATTTGAACTCTTTGCTTGCTGCTGAAGATAGGGACTGAGCACTTATATCAGTGTCCCGAGTGCTGTGATGTCAAGAAATTAGTTATTACAACACTTCCTGAGTGTATGAGTTGAGTTAATTTAATTCAAGAACCTACATCATAGCAATCAGGGCATTCCCATTAGCGCTCCCTCCCCATCTTCAGCAGCCAGAGTAGAGTTCCAGTACCAATGGTGCCAGTAGCATTCTGATTAAACGTCTGTCTTGCCTTTCCTCTGAGCGTCAAACACCAGTCAGAACCTCTCGTCACTCCCCCCTGTATCAATCTCACCAGACTGGTGATCCATCCGTCCCTCCTAACTATACACGCTCTAGCACATGGCTCTAACCACATCTGCCTTAACAACTATACACGCTCTAGCACATGGCTCTAACCACATCTGCCTTAACAACTATACACGCTCTAGCACATGGCTCTAACCACATCTGCCTTAACAACTATACACGCTCTAGCACATGGCTCTAACCACATCTGCCTTAACAACTATACACGCTCTAGCACATGGCTCTAACCACATCTGCCTTAACAACTATACACGCTCTAGCACATGGCTCTAACCACATCTGCCTTAACAACTATACACGCTCTAGCACATGGCTCTAACCACATCTGCCTTAACATGCATCACAATCTTCATCACGTTGTGCAGACCCAGCCAGCCTGTTCGTTTCCCAACACACCAGCAGACCAACACACCAGCAGACCAACACACCAGCAGACCAACACACCAGCAGACCAACACACCAGCAGACCAACACACCAGCATCTCCTGGAGACAAGATCCAGACAATACTCCTCACCTATGACCTCCACAGCTAATCATGCCACTCTGCCCAAAGCATGCCTCTCCTGACCTTCCTCAGCATGCTTTCTGAGTCAGTTACAATCAGGATGTGTGTATTCTGTTCTCCAACCAGCAGAAAGCTGCAATGACCGCCTCCACCTCCATTCTTAAGCTGGATGTTGTGGTATAATATGCTAGGCTCTCCTGCAGCAAATGTTGACCATAAACTTTTGCTTAGAAACCCCAAGCACTTCTTTTGCTTCTTGACACTGAACCGTCTGTATAAATAATCACAACCTCTAAGCGCGCATTATGTTGGATTAATTGCTGAATTTCCAGCTCCGTGGGATCTGCTGGCCACTCTTTGCACTCCCAGCTCAAAAGATTAAGACTACTCAGTTCTGACTGTTCTGCTAGCACTCTGACTTACTCCTGTCCTCGCCTGATGTTCTCCAGGATGCAAACCTGTCTGATTGTGTCTTCTGCATGAGCCATCCGTGACTTCCTTCTCATCAGCCGCTGACCCTTAACAACTGTGCCCATAGCTTCGTACCAAGGGTGATCTGAAGCACCTTGAGCCTACCTGCAGCAGTCGACAAACCAAGAATGTATCACATACACACCACTGGGGTGTCTCTGGTACAATCCAGAATGACCCGTATAGCTGCGTTCTGTAAGCACTCTAGTTTATCCATTTAACTCTTTGAAACAGCAGTCCTAGTCCATAATCAATCACTGAAAGGATCTAGTGCTGATGTAGTGTGAAAAGCATTCTCTGTTTCATGTGTCCATTGCAGCCGTAGTCTTAAGTGCATTGAGTCCATTTTGACATCTTGTCACAACCATCTCCACATCGTCCTTAAAGGACAGGCTCCTGTCAAATGGGATTCCCAAATACTTGTTTGCTCTCTCAAGATGGCAGATCCCTGTGACATTCAGTGTGATTATGACCCTACACAAGACTGACTGTTCAGGTGGCACTTTGACCCACTCCTGTCCTCGTCTGTTAAGAAAAAGAAAAACATTTAGAGCTGATAAATCATTCAAATAGTGAACATATATACACATCCGCATGCACACACATATATAATACTTTTTTGGTGATCCCATGAAGTTGACACAGCAGACCTTGAGAAAACCTGGGACATAAAAGTGAGGGTGACTGGGTTCACATCCAGGAGGCCCCAGTTCAAATCCCTGGATTTTATCTCTTGATGGTAAAAATAAAATCTTAACCTGCACAGTCCATGGCAACTGCACTAGCCTAAATTTTCAGGCTCAAGGCACCTCCCCCCACCCCAGATGGTTAATACTTGCACTAAAGATAGTGCTTTCTCAGTACCATTGAGACATCCTCTTCAATGTTATCTTTTGTACTCTGAAATCGTCATGTTTTCTGAAATGTGTTTTCCTTTTCTTTCCTAAGATGGCCCACTTAACCGACCTGGACTTCAACCGGGATATACTGCATCATGTGCCACTCTACGAAGCTGGGATGTTGGAGTTGAAATATGGGAATGTACCATGTAGGACCATAAGGCAATGAATATTAATGTTGTGTGTTTGGTTGATGGTTGTGATTGAACTCAGAAGTTGTTTGATGCTTACTGTAGGAAGATGGATTGAATAGAATCATTTCTTGGGTCATGTGTTTTTTTCCCTTTGAAACTGAAAATTTCATGTTTGATGAGCTAAGTAAACATGCCAGGTAAAGCTCCCCCCTATTGATGGCAGTACAGTACATGGACAAGCTGCAAACCTCTTCAGGCGGAATGGTTTTTCCTCACAGAATCACTGTCAGCCAAACTGGCTCCAGAGGCCAAAATTACTGACAGGGCAACAACACTACAGTCTAACAAAGGAACTTGCTGAGCTGTTAAAAAAAGGGCTGCAATGGATTCCATCTCACTGTGGATTCAAAGCAGTGAAAGCGCTGATGCTTTAGCCGAGGAAGGCAGCAGAAAACCAGCAATAAATTTAAGGAAAATCAGAAACAGACTGGAAAACAGACACAAGCATCTGAATAGAACAGACCAAGACACAATATTTTGTTTACGCACTGAACATGGAGACTCAACAATCACTCATTTAAATTAGGTATGAGCCAAACGGCTCTCTGCCAGTGTCTTTATGCCGAACATTCTCCAGAACATGTCTTATGAAACTGTCTTTTCCTGGTGGAGTTGCCAAGCAGCACAGGGCCACATATAGTAGACCTGGCTATCAGGAAATCTAAGATATCCTGAGATGACATCCCAGTTTATGGCCTACAGTGGATTAAGTGTATGACCAGAGATCACTGAAAGAAGAAGAAGACATGACCAGTTTATGGCCTACAGTGGATTAAGTGCATGACCAGAGATCACTGAAGAAGAAGACATGACCAGTTTATGGCCTACAGTGGATTAAGTGTATGACCAGAGATCACTGAAGAAGAAGAAGAAGAAGAAGACATGGCCAGTTTATGGCCTACAGTGGATTAAGTGCATGACCAGAGATCACTGAAGAAGAAGAAGAAGAAGAAGACATGGCCAGTTTATGGCCTACAGTGGATTAAGTGTATGACCAGAGATCACTGAAGAAGAAGAAGAAGACATGGCCAGTTTATGGCCTACAGTGGATTAAGTGTATGACCAGAGATCACTGAAGAAGAAGACATGACCAGTTTATGGCACACTGGATTAAGATGACCAGAAGATCACTGAAGAAGAAGACATGACCAGTTTATGAAGTTTTCTACAGTGGATTAAGTGTATGACCAGAGATCACTGAAGAAGAAGAAGACAGACATGAACCAGCTCTTATCCCTACAGTGGATTAAGTGTATGACCAGAGATCACTGAAGAAGAAGAAGAAGAAGAAGACATGGCCAGTTTATGGCCTACAGTGGATTAAGTGCATGACCAGAGATCACTGAAGAAGAAGAAGAAGAAGAAGACATGGCCAGTTTATGGCCTACAGTGGATTAAGTGCATGACCAGAGATCACTGAAGAAGAAGAAGACATGGCCAGTTTATGGCCTACAGTGGATTAAGTGTATGACCAGAGATCACTGAAGAGGAAGAAGACATGGCCAGTTTATGGCCTACAGTGGATTAAGTGTATGACCAGAGATCACTGAAGAAGAAGAAGACATGGCCAGTTTATGGCCTACAGTGGATTAAGTGTATGAATCAGGCATATGTTATGGACCCATTTTTTAAATAACAGCACTTGATGATTAAGGTTTCATAAATAAATTACAATAAACCCTCAGCAGTTGAAGAAGTTTTCGAATAGAGTGTAACTCTCTCGGTCACTAGGCCACTTTGGGCTGAATGATGTACACCTTGTTTGCCCTTCAACTTCAGCTCTTATCTCTTTATTTTTATGTATTGTTTATTCATCGAGTACATTGAGGTCACAGTAAGATAACAAAACTCTCTGCTTTATTACCACATACAAGAAATGTATTGTTTCGTTAGTCTGTTTTTGTTAAATCGCCTATTGTTCTTGGCATGTCATTGTCGCTCTTATTAAGCAGAACAATGTCATCTGTGAAATTGAGACTTCTAATTGTGTATTCTCTGCCCAGTTAATGCTGGTGTGTCAATTGCACAAATTTTTGTTTGTTTGCCTAGTCAATAGCTATACCAAAACAAAAACGGGGGAAGATAAAATTATCCCTGTTTCACTCCACTTTAAACTGCAAATCAGTCTCTTAGACCATTATCCTTTCACACTGCACACTCTGCGCCTTCATACATTGCTTTAGTAATAGGAGACACTGGTGAAAATAATTGGAATGACTGTCAAATTATAGCTAAATATTTGCTGCAGGAGTGACCAACATGGGCTGAGCAGAGAAAATTATTATATCCTGCACCTGCTCTTTTTGAGTACAAACTCTGTGGGAATGTTAACAACCTCAAGTTGCTTGTTGTTTTCTTCATGGTGACATCTGAAAAGGATTCAAAGAAGAAGAATACAGATAGGGTTAAGTACTACTTTGGTCAGCAACCAGCTTTAATCCAATTCTGCCTCTCTGTCTCTTCCTCCCATCATTTTTCTCCTCTCCCTCCTTTCCCTCTCTGTCTCTTTTTCTTCTTATTTCTCTTTCTCTCCTTTTTTTTAACTCACTTGATTGGACAGTTAAGAAAGCATGAAACTGGAAAGGGAGGACAAGTAAAAAAAGACCTGTCTGCTGTTGACAAATGTGGCAGATAGGGAGTTGTGGAGTTCAAAGGATCTAGTTGGAGCTATTCTTATGTGCATGTTTCTGTAGTTCCTGTCATGTCTACTCATGTATTGACTGACCTGACACCATCAGTGTTTGTAAATCATTGTGAGCAGTCAGGATTTTAATTCTTGTTCTGTGTTCACCCTCACCCTGTCACTCCAAGGAGGCTAAATTGAATCCCTTCCAGTATATTGCCATTTCTGTTCTTTTATAATATCCTACCCCAGATGATGTCACAGGCCAGTCCAACATTTTAGTGGGTGGTAAGATTGGGTTTCCCAGCTTTCTGAAGCTTTTAACAACCTCAAAACATCTATAACTGGTCCTAACCCCAACCCACCTACGTCTCATGAGAGAGTGCAGCCTAGGTCCCACGACTGCATACAGCCTAGATTCCATGACTGTATGCAGCTTATCTACCACTCCCTGAAATATTAGACTCTCCCTTGACCTGTGGATTTTCCCTGTTTGGGGTAGGATATTAAGAAAGCACTGCCATTTTTGCAGAGATTTGTTCTCAGCAAGTTTCTTCTAAGCTACAGTCTGCTTTTCAGCCCAACATATCTGATTTTAGCAAACCCTTAATAAGTCGCCTTTCACCGTGTGCTTGTTAGAGAGAAATGGATGCATTACTGCACCTTCACCCAACCCTGATTAAATAGGGCCCCCTGCCCGCACAAGGAAGGGGATTATGAAACTCTCTTTAATAATTTCCATGTGGACTGTTTTGTTGAAGTCTGATGATCATTTTATGATTAGTTCAATTGTTGCCCAGAAACTATAGGGTTATGCTGTCTATGAATTCTCACTTGCATTTCTTTCTTTTTTTTTTCTTCTTCCCCAGTTGATATTCCAGGAGGAAGAGAAAAAGGAGTGGTTCAAGGCTATGGGGAGAAAGTTAATAGGAGATCTCCTGCTCAAAGCTGATAGAGTGAGTCAGTTTTTAGGGTTGTAGTTATTGTAAGGGTGAGTTCATTTATGGGGTTAGCCTAAGTGTAAGAGTTTGATTATTTATGGGGTTTTAGTTATCCTAAGAGTAAGTGAGAGTTAATTTGCAATGCTGTAATTAGAGTTAGTACGAGAATTTGCAGGGGTGTAGTTATCCTTAGAGTAAGTACAAGAATTTGCAGGGGTGTAGTTATCCTTAGAGTAAGTACTAGAATTTGCAGGGGTGTAGTTAACCTTAGAGTTAGTACGAGAATTTGCAGGGGTGTAGTTATCCTTAGAGGAAGTACTAGAATTTGCTGGGGTGTAATTATCCTTAGAGTAAGTACGAGAATTTGCAGGGGTGTAGTTATCCTTAGAGTAAGTACAAGTTAATTCATTATGTTGTAGTTATCCTTAGGGTAAGTACGAGTTAATTTATTGCATCAACTCTAGTTATCCTTAGGGTAAGTACGAGTTAATTCATGGGGTTGTAGTTATCCTTAGGGTAAGTGTGAGTTAATTTACAGAGCTGTAATTATCCTTACAATTTGTGCAAGTTAATTTCTGGGGTTGTGGTGAAATTATGGTGGTTGTGTCATGTAATAAACATTGTCGAACTGAGCATTGTTGTCTTCCATTGTAGCTGAATAGACTACACATTTATGAAATGGAAACAGTAGACTGTAGATATATTAAACAGACTGCACATTTCTTAAATAGAAACATTCTGCTTTTCTTTCTTTCTTTCTTTCTTTCTTTCTTTCTTTCTTTCTTTCTTTCTTTCTTTCTTTCTTTCTTTCTTTCTTTCTTTCTTTCTTTCTCTCTCTCTCTCTCTCTCTCTCTCTCTCTCTCTCTCTCTCTCTCTCTCTCTCTCTCTTTCTTTCTGTTTTTTTAGCCCAGTAGTTATACAGCAATGTAACCCACACATGTTAATGTAATTCACACATTATACGTGTATGAGGAAAGGCTGGCAGTGGAGTTAGGACAGTAGGCTATCATGCTGGAGACCTGGGTCTGATCCATGGGAAGGGATGTAAATTTAAATCTGTCTGAAAAAAAAAATGCTAACCTGCACAGTTCATGGCAGCCTTAAATCCTCAGCTTATGCCCCCCCCCCCACCTAAAATCCTGCACTGCCACAACATGTGGTACATACATACAGTAAAGACCAATATACATATATGTACTTATCACTTTCTGCATTTCTCACAGGATGTTGAGGAGTTCTACATAAGTTATGACAAAATGATGCAGTTTGTCAGTGTAGAGAGCAATTGGCCTATGATTGAGGAAGAGCTGAGAGGAAGAGGGGTAATTTTTGTGTGGTTCAGTCCTTACAGGATTTGTGGGTGTACCTATCATTGTGGTCATGCAGGAATGCAAGACAATTCAAGGTTATCTGAAATCAGTTATCTGAAAGTCAATCATGAAACAAGTCAGTTGTACTGTTTCATTTAGCTAGTAACCCATTGAATCTAATTTCAACATGCATTTATTAAGGGATTCTGCTGTTGACTTCTCCCAGTCTACCCCTAAAACAGTAGATTTGTGTGTTTTATCCACATAGCGTGTCTTGTCCAACTAAGGAGACATTACCGCTAATATCAGTGCAGCTCATAGGGTCCTTGAGAATCTTCCTGCACCCAGAAGTTGGAGTCACAGAAGAAAGAGCGTGTTAGGTTGCAAATATCTGTTGTTGGCAGCGAGGAGAGACGTTTTCCGGCTGCTGTTATTACTTCTTCTTTCTCTTCTATAGTGCTGTTCTGCCTTTCAGTGTCAGGTTTTGAACAGGCATCAGATGCAAACCTTTGTGCTATGTAGATTCTGGTATTTATGGCCTCGGATATTCCGTCTATCCTTTGCTTGCATGGTCAACCTCTGGATCTGCTTCCGTTGTGTCAGAGTGACAGGGCTCTCTGTAGTGCACTGTCTGGTGAAAGTCTTGACACACGTCAAAATCACTTTATCTGTTGTCTCCCAACTTCTTTCATGATATCGTCATTTCTGATACTGTCTCTTCTAGCTACATTTAGGATCCATGATAGACAGTGTTACTTTTGGTTGGAAATAATGAGAAATGACTTAAGTTCAGCTAACAACAGTATACAGTTGTCTCTATCGTGTGGGTTCTTCTATGTAGGGAAAACAAGAATAGACCCACTGCCTACTTAAAAGCATGTTGTAAGAGTCGACTAATTAGGAGCTTCCTTTGAAGTCAGAGTGCATCTGCCTTAGAGGCAAGGAACCAACAGTCTGCACACAAGTGTGTAAAATCTGTCAAATAGGTTCTGGAATAGAACTGTAGTCCAGAAGTAGATGAACAACCAGAACTTTCCACCAGAGTTTACTGCTTGTGAACGCAAAGAAGAAAGAAGACGTTGACTTTTACAGTTATCATTTTCAGTCACTTAACTTTACCAAAACTGGATTTATTGGGCCCGAAAGATGCATTATCATAACCTACCTGTAAACACAACATAGTGTGTCAACCTACCTTTTAAAGACGATGGCAAAAGAAGGAAGGAAAAATAGTTAATATGCTTCAATAGAAGCAGATTGCCAAGGGGTAAAAGGTAAAAGTTGGGAGATGTGAACCAGTGTTATTGCACACGGTTATAAGCCATAAGTGCTCTGCCACCAGTATGGACAGCTGATGAGAAACTGTTTGCCTGTGTCGCCGTCCGCACGTTACTCTGTAGCTACAGCGACGTTCCTCCATTTACCCCAGAGTGTCACTCTGGTGCCCATTTCCCAGAGGCTGGGTAAACCCCGGGAACTGCCTGGTTTCGAACACCGACTGTGGCTGCAGCAAGTGGCAGCTGGATTTGAAAGCGAGCCTCCTATCGACTGTGCTACACGGCTCCCATGCAGGATGTGTGTTCTGTCTTTGGTCAGACTTTTGAGTATTTTGGTTTGTCATTTTAGCCCATTCAGTAAAAGGTGATAATGTTAACAAGCAGTCTTCATTTGTCCTTGAGCTTGAGGGTTTAGGGTTACCTGGCTAGTGCTGCGGTGACAGCACTTGTCGTGCAGTCCTAAATCCTCAGACTCAAAGACATCTGCCCAGCTACACTGCAAAACTGGTAAATATAGACAGTAGTAATTGGCATGGGGAGAAGGAGGGGAGGGGGGGAGGGGTTGTAAGGAAGCAAACTTAAGTTCTTTACAAATTCATTTATTATTATATTCAACATTCAAATCAAGGATTGGCTTGTTTCTTGATTGTTGCTCACATAATTTCAGGTGCGCGTCATGTCTTTCTATGACATTGTACTAGATTTTATCCTGATGGATGCCTTTGATGACCTGGCCAATCCCCCATCGACCGTCATCACTGTTGTACAGAATCGCTGGTTGTCCAATGGCTTTAAAGAAACTGTGAGTACTGGTGGCAGCTCTGCCAGGTTCTCTGTGGTGAAATCAGGCTGTGGGTTTTTGTTAAGAATTCATTTATATGCAATTCTTAAATGATCATTTATGTGTTTGTGAGCTGTACACATGAGAGAGAGAGAGAGGGAGAGATGCCTTTTTATAACATAATCAAAACAAAAATTATCCACACTCTGGTTCTAGAATTTATTTTGTCATCAACATTTAGTAAAGAACACTTTCCCACACCCGCAGGTGTATACACACACACACACACATATGTATACACACACACAAACACATATGTATACACACACACACACAAACATATATATAGCGCTAGACCTCGTCTAATGAACTTAATTTATTCCTTACTGTGGTACATACATATCTCGAAAAGTTCAAATTTAAAAGCCCAATTTTCAATTACATGTTATGGGAAATCGTCAGTCTGTTCGCAGATTAAAAACTAATTAAGTTTGTATCTAAACTTTCTTTTATTTCAAGATTAAGATTTTCAGAGTGGTGAACCAACATAAGTTTTATCTTTAGATCACCGCTATCATTGGCACAAAGTAACAAAGTTAGCATGCCTTACATCGGCTTGTGTCCTGGCAGTTCCATTTAATTTCACTGATGAATGTTCTGTTAGACATTTTTTCCAGAAAAGCCAAGTTGATGGTAATTTGGAAATTGTTCTGGTCTGTAAAATTTGACTCCACCAGTTTCTGAAATTCTTTCACAAACTTTTCAGCAACTTTTTTGTCACCACTAGCACCTTCTCCATGTCTAACAACACTATGGATACCAGTTTTCTTCTTGAAGTTCTCAATTTATCCTTTGCTGCTTTTACACTTTTCAGCCAAGTCTTTGCTACTGGTAGGGGTTGGCAACTTCTGTGATAGATCTTTATAAACAGCTTTAACATTTAAACATATCCTATTTTGAGATACGTTTGTATGAAACTAGCTGGACCATATACTCAGTATGCCAAATTTTATGAAAAATACATCCTTCACATATAATTTTTTTAAAAATATGCCTTGCAATTAATTGTCACAAATAAATCCTGCAGGCTTTGGCAACTGCTTTGTGGTCAGTGTTGAAAGCAAAGAGAAGTTTACTGAAGGTAAGCCTGTTGATGCCAGATATTAAATTTATATTAGTGTTTGTATAATTGATTGGCACCTTTCCGTCTTTTCAGAGGATAGTGTTATATTGCTCAATGAGGAGACATGAGGCTCCCAGCCCATAGCAATGGCAAGTGTAACTTGCAAGACCCGCCCGCGTTAAGAAATGTCTTCCACAATTATAGCATAGGATTTCAGGACCAATTTTGTCAGCATTTGTCTTTAGTATGTTTCGTCTGACGCTCAGCTCTCGTCGTTACTGCAGTCACTTCTTCTTTTATTCTCAATCCCCTCCTTATGTGCCCCCTCCACACAACGTGTCCATGGCATTTTATTCCCACGAGTCCACTTCAATACCTGTATCATTCATGTCCCGCTTGCATACATCTTTATATTTTAGTAAAAGTCAGCCAGACATCTTCTACCCATCATTAATTCACCATAGACGATGTCCTTAGGGACTCAGCCCTTTTCAATCTTCAGGTGTGACCTAGTATTGTATATGACTGTAACAGATATCACACATGTCATCTTTTTCCTTGTGTTTTCCGGGGCCCTGTTATAGGGAAAACAAGAATGGACCTACTGCCTACCCAAAAGCAGGGCCTAAAAGTCACCTAAATGGGAGCTTCCTTCAAAGTTGGAGTGCATCTGCTTGAGAGGCAAGAAACCAGCAGTCTGCATACAAATGAGTCAGATCTGTAAAATGGATGCACACACAACACTCAGGTTCTGGAACAGGACTGCAATCCAGAAGTGGATGAACAACCAGAGTTTACAGCTGGTGAACAAGAAGAAGAAGAAGATTTCATCTTTTTTTTCTGGATTCTGTTTTATGTAAGTTTTGGCAGTTTAAATTTGTTTCATACTAACCACTATATTATTGCAGCTCATCTTTTACTATAGAGATAGTTTCAATTAAATAAATTATTGGGTTGTTTTTCTAACACACAGCTTTCTGTCTTCTCCACAGTTCAACGATGGCTTCATATCTCACTTTTACTCCATATCTGAACATACCAGTCCTCTGCTGGCATGGGGCTTTCTGGGACCAAACACAGAGCTCAAGGAGCTGTGCTTGTTTTTCAAGGTTTGTAAGGACAGATTTAGTCAGTCATAGAAGGGTCTGCAAGATTTTAACATACTAATTTCCTGTCAATTTGTATGACCTTAAGATGGCTGAGTAGTCTCGAGGTATAGTGTCAGCCTCGAGTGCTGGGGGTCCCGGGTTCAAGCCCCAGGGAGGCGGGGGATTTTTTCAAGTAGGCTTCTAGTAATATCTCCTGGTCTCTGGGGTGTAAGATCGGACGCCCATATGCATTCTTGCGCACGTAAAACTTCCTTGGCAGTTGGAAATCGAAAATAGTAGTCTTAATGCTGCCCAGGCAAAATTAGGAGTTAAAAATCTACCCAAAGTATATCAGGATCCTCGCCGGTGCAACAAAGTTCGTGCACTGCGCTGAGATTTCTTCAGTTAGAAGTAGAATGGAGCACTTATGGGTTACACCCGTGTGTCATGATGTTGATCCGTCGAATAAACATAAACATGACCACAACACGGATACACCCCAGTCTTTCTTATTTGTTAGATCTACAGGATGTTGGGGTTTTAAGGCTAAATGGCTGATTGGTTGTGAAATAAGTCTGAATTTGAACACTTTTTGTCAGATCCGCTGATGTTTCAGGTTGTCTGAGGTTAGTGTGGAGATTTTCTCCCAACCGACTACCAGAGTATGTCTCCATGGGAACTGTGTTGCAGAGTTCTCCTTCCCCTTTGCAAATTCTTGTCACATTGATCCTGAGAACTTGCCTGTCAGTATAAATAACAAAGATGTTTTCATGACATGGAAGAGGGAGGCTGGTCATGAGACATGAACAATTGAACTAATTGTTCTTCTTCTTCTGCCTTTCTAACCCCAGTGGAGCATAAGCCCTCAACCAACACAAGCCAAGTCATTCTATCCTTTGTTAATTTTATTAGTTAACCCTTTTGCCTGAGAATTTGTCAGTCTGGCATCACGCCAGTTACAAAGTCCTTGGAAAGCCATCACGCCAGTTACAAAGTCCTTGGAAAGCCACAAAGCCGACATTGCTGTATTGGACTATTGCAGTCAAGTCTTACTATGGACATTCATTCTTTTTTAGCCCTGCACAGTGTTTGGGAGGACTGGCACATTGCTGTTTTCAGTCTGATATTTTATAGGTTTTATTTTTGACCCTCATTCAGAAAGGAAACTACAAGAAAATTGTAAATTATTATTTCCCTCTGGCAAAAAAATCAACCCAGAAGTAAAACTGGTCAGCTCCCCAATAAAAAAAGTCACGAAAAACCTAATATTGCTGCCAGAAAACCGTTATCAGCATATGTGGACAATGATATATACGGCTACATAAAACACTTCATTTGTTCTTCACTCTTAAAAGGGTCATTAGCATATTGTGCTGTGGTTTCAGCTAAGCTGTGATATCGGCACCTTTTAGCCTAACACATCCAGTTCAACAGACTCCTAATTGATTACTTTTTTCAAAATGCTTTTTTTTAGTAGCGTTATGGGTCTGTTCTTTTTCCCCTCCAAAATATAATAGCTTTATGGGCGACATTACCTGATTATCAAAATATCTGGAACACAAAGGCATGCACCCTCGCTGAGCCATGGATAGAATATTTATTTTAATGTTAAGACTGATCACCTAGTTGTTGACATGAATTACTGTTGTTCTAGAAGTTTACAAGTGTTCAGCTTTTCTGTTGTGCCCATGATGACTTTGTGTTGTGAACTGCGCTGGAAACAGTGACAGTCAGTTACATTTAGAATGGTGTGTCTTCTGCAGTGTTGCATGTGCAGTGCTGGCACTTGTAATTGACTGCTTGCATCAACAGTGAGCTGCAGTTCTTTTTTGGGATTGTTAGTGTTGGTACAGCTGCCTTATGCCTCTCCCTGGTTGTCAAATGGGATCGTGAAAGACATTTTGTTTGATTTCCACTTGCACACGAACAGGAATGGAGCAGTTATAGGGCAGCTTGTCTGCAGTGAAGTTATGACCTCAACTAACATAAGCATTCAAGCTTCCTCCCCCCCTCCCAACTCCTCAACCCTCCTCCATGGTGACCTTCGACATATTAATGATGGTAACCATTCATTTGATCCCACAGGGCTTAGTTCTTGGCTTCATCCAGGATATCTTCAGTTTTGATAAGGTCAGGTTTACCACCGTCGAGGCTCTAGCAGAAGATATCCTCAAACTGGCAGAGCAGCAGAGTGAGAATGCGGCAGAGAGGTTAAAAACTGGCAGTCCAGACATCACACCAGTAGCTTCCTACTGTTGAAGCTGGGAACAGTAAGTGCATTCTGTTTTTGTGAGATGTTTATTGCAGTTCTCGTTTAGGTATAATCATATTTTTTAACGCACATGTAGCAAAGTGAGGATATGTTGGCCCGAGACAGCTTTGCATAAACACTCTAGCTCCGGCAGCAACCTCCCGGTATCTCCTAAACTTTCTTCTTTTTCTTTTTCTCCTCCTCCTCCTCCTTCTTTTTCTTCTTCTTCTCTATCACCTTGTACTTCAGTGAAGTGTCGGGGGGAGATGTAACATTTGTTGATGAGCTCTGTCAAGAGCACCATTAAGATTAAAGTTCTCCAAAACCGAACAATGGCATCCTAAATTAAACTGAAAACCTTTAGAACAAGAGGCAAAATAGTTTAACTATTTGGCCATTTTTACACTGACTATTGTAGCTCCCATGAACTTTACCTCAGTGGTTCATGATTAAGTCATGAGTTTATTTTTTAATCAAAGTTATTTTGTAAAAAAAAACATCATAATAATTACTACTGGCTACCTGACTTGAATCAAATAAAAATAGTAAAGTTTTGTAGACATACCAGTCTTAGTGTTAACCGGCTGTAAAACCCAGTTGTAAAATCAGGTTGTTGTCAATTTTTTTTGGACATTTGTCATGTTCCAGAACTTGTGTGTTGTGTGCACACCCATTTTACAGATCTGGCTTATTTATATGCAGACTGTTGGTTCCTAATTTCTCAGGCAGATGCAGTGACTTTGAAGAAAGACATACCAGTAAGAAGTATAGCATGAGGGGGTAATGTGAAGATGCAAGCAGTTATTTTATCTGTTAAATGTGACAATAAAAAGAATTAATATATCTGATTAATGTGAAGATACGGGCAGTTTAAAAAAAAAAACAACTCTTTAGGCGATAGCAACTTGGAAACCATTAATTTTTAACATACACTGTTCCCCCTTTTCAACATAAATACCACTACATTGATGCACTTGTCCCATTTATCAGTCCTCCCAAACCTGCTGCATAGAACTGAGTGCTCTGTTTTCTAACCACATTTTCACTTCAAACTCAACGTTTGCATCATTCGCGAAATGTCTCCTGCCAAGGTGGGTTTTCAGTGGACCAAAACGGTGGAAATTGCTAGGGGCTGAGCTGGGGCTGTAAGGTGGATGTTACAGAAGTTCCCACCTTATATGGTTAATTGTCTGTTGAGTTAACCGCACTGTATGTGATCTGGCACTGTCATGAAGGAGCAGTACTCCTCTAGTCAGCGCGCCTGTGTGTATTCTTTGACTTGCATCATGAAGCATTGATAGAACTTTACAGTATGAACCACGTGAGCACCCTATTGCAGCTGCTTCAGAGTCGACCGTTACTCGTCTGTCACCCCTGATCATCTCCTCCACCTGCTGCACGAATGCACCTGTTGCAGTCTCAACATGACGACCAGATTGGACTTTATGAACAATTTTAAAGCATCCTGGATAAAAATTATTTACCCAGCTATGCGCGCTTTACGGGATAAACATTTGTCAGCATATACAGGAAGCATTTCCTTATTAAGGTCCTTTGCAGGCAGCCTTTTTGCCCAAAAAACAAACAAACTGCAAAACAGCGTGTTGTCCTTTAAATCTTCACTATGTCAGTACAGTCGCCATTTTGTTTCTGTAATACAAATGCGCATGCAACACCTAGCGTCACCTAAAGAATGGAGACATTAAGTTCAATGTTGCTGTCATCTAATGACACCATCATCAACTACATTTTCCTGCCATTCCAGAACCATTTGTGGCTTACTTATTGTCTTCCCCTCGTATATATGGTTAGTGTGAAGGTGCAGGCAATTATTATATGTGGTTAATGTGAAAAATGCAGTCAGTAATATGTAAAGGGTTAAGGTTTAAGTTTTAAACAGTGTATCAACATCATTGCACAAGTTAAGGAACCCATAAGTGCTCCATTCAACTTCTAAACTCAAGTCTGAGTCTGAAGAATCTCAGTGCAGCACACGAACTCCATAGCACCAGCAAGGATCCTTAAATACTTTGTGTAGATGGATGACTCCAAATTTTGCCTGGGCAGAGCCATTAGGCTACTCTTTTTGATTTCCAACTACCAAGGGATTTTTTACGTGCTCAGCAGTACACACGGGCGTCTGATCTTACTACCCAGAGATTAGAGGAATACAAGAAGTCCATGTGAAAAACTCCCAGCCTTTACCGGGGCTTGAACTCCGGATCTCCAGTACTTGAGGCTGATGCCATGCCTTGAGATCACTCAGCCCCCTTAGGCAATTATATATGGCTCATTTGAAGATACAAGCAGTTATATCTGGTTAATGTGAAAAATACAGGCAATTATTATGTCTTGTTAATGTGAAATATGTAGGTAATTATTATATCTGGTTAATGTGAAATATGTAGGTAATTATTATATCTGGTTAATGTGAAATATGTAGGTAATTATTATATCTGGTTAATGTGAAATATGTAGGTAATTATTATATCTGGTTAATGTGAAATATGCAGGTAATTATTATATCTGGTTAATGTGAAATATGCAGGTAATTATTATATCTGGTTAATGTGAAATATGTAGGTAATTATTATATCTGGTTAATGTGAAATATGTAGGTAATTATTATATCTGGTTAATGTGAAATATGTAGGTAATTATTATATCTGGTTAATGTGAAATATGTAGGTAATTATTATATCTGGTTAATGTGAAATATGTAGGTAATTATTATATCTGGTTAATGTGAAATATGTAGGCAGTTATTCTATCTGATTAAGGTGAAGATGCTGGCAATAATATATGGTTTGTGTAAAGATACAGTCATTACGTCTGCTTAATTTGGAGATCTTCTGATTTTCATCTGCCACTGGAGCATAGGTCCTCAACTGGTTTATGTTAAGCCCTTTGTAAACTTGCTAATGAGTGATTCAGATTTTGGGGCTTACATTTTCTGTGGTATGGAGTAGTCAGGGGTCAAACCTCCTTAGTCACCTCTTATGGCATGCATATGTTATCACAATCAACGTCACTGCACATTGGGCATTCCCACGCATGCTCAGTCCTTCATGCAACAGGCACTCCAAGATACTTCTACTAATTATTCCCATGAGAGGTTGGTTATAATGTCTCCTATCTTGGCCTCAGATGTGTCCCTCGCTCTTGTTGTAAAGATTTTTCAGATAGCTGTTTGCCCATCTCCTGATGTTATTCTTCTACTTGTATCGCTGTCACCCCTTGCTTGTCGGCCTTCAACTACTCTCTCTCCAGTATAGTAGATGAGAGTTACCTTTTTTCTTGTTTTATGGGCCCAAAGAGCATACAGCTGAATTTGAACATCATCATCCAGTTTTGCCATTGTCTGTTGAAAATATTTGTCCATTGTTTTGTTCTATGAGTTTGCTGGTTCTCCAGCTTTCACTGACAAGTGTTTACCCCGTGTGGGTTCCGGGTCCCCATTGTGGGGAAAACAAGAATAGACCCACTGCCTCCCCAAAAGCATGTCGTAAGAGTCGACTAATTGGGGAGCTTCCTTTGAAGTCTGAGTGCATCTGCCGGAGAGGTAAGGAACCAACAGTCTGTATTCAAGAGAATGAGATCTGTAAAACTGATGCACACGTAACACTCAGGTTCTGGAGCAGGACTGCAGTTCAGTAATGGACAAGCAACCAGAACCTTCCGCCAGAGTTTACAGCTGGTGAACGCGAAGAAGAAGAAGAAGAAGACTGACAAGTGTTTAAAAAAAATTGAAAAAAGATTGGAATCACAAATATGTCATTTGTTTTTTTAAACTGTATAATCTAGAGTTCAGTATTTGATTGTGAGTGTATGAACAGTTATTTTTTCTAGTTAATGATAAAGGTGGACATGTATCAGTTATTCTTGTTTCTGCAGGACTGCTTTCAGAAATGGCAGGTGGCATCTGATGTAAAGATAGCGATTTCAGAAGCAGATAGCGCAGCTGACTGAGGAAGATAAATCTCAGCAGTAATGGATAAAATGGCTGAACTTGTCAGGAAACTCTGGCACGGTTGGCACAGGTCTGGTACAACAGCTTATAGGAGCTATGTAACTCAGACCGAAGTATACGTGCATTCTAATTAATATAAGCTAAGAAAGTCTTATCTCAGAACTAATAGATAAAATGTGTTGTTACAGAAATCTAGTATAGTGGAACTTGGGCTCTCCTGAACCACAGCTCTGATATGTTATATAACTGAGACTGTCTGTTACGTGCACATTCAGATCTACAACCTATTTTCACATAGAACATTTTTTGTTTAGTTTTATATGCTGAGGTTGCAACTGTGAATTTGATCCATTACTGTGTTTTCAACATTTCTGATGAAGCGTGTTTGAGGGTTCTTTAATCCGTACCCCACTTTTTTTTTTATATTATTTTTTCTCACATTGTTTGACAGCCTTAAATCAAGTCCTAGTAGGATTTATTTAATATATTTTATTTCATATTACAGAGAGGATAAGAGAGAACAAATATATATGTAGTTTTTTCTTCTTTCACACTCACTCTTAAAAGGGCAGTTGCAACTTTATTTTGTGGTTTACAGCTAGGCTGCGATATCTGCATCTTAAAATCAACATATTAGATTTCATCAAACCCTTGGCCACCTTTTACTACCTGCTTTTAAGAGGCATTAGGTCTGTTATCTTTACCTTCAAATTTTTAATTTTTAAAGCATTTACAATGCAAAAGGGTTAAAAAAAAAAAACATTTGTTGGGGGTATATATGCTCTACAGGAAGCAAAATGCAGAAGACAGTTTAGTGGCCAGGTGACCAATGCTTGTGCACAGCACTGAGCCAGAATGTATATAGTGACCAAAAAAAAAAAAAAACCGAAAACATCTAAAAGCATAAGTGATTTTTAAAGACAATATAGATTGTTGCAGACTAACTGCAAGTTTAATGTACTTCTAACGCACTAATTTCCTGTAGTTTAAATTAGATTTAGTTTTTAGTTTAATTCATTTTCTGCGTTTTAATTTGGT